CCCATGCAGCACGACTGAGACAAGAAAAGGCAAATTTTCCATGAGCCATTAAAGGTCCTCAGGGGGGGAATGAGGATTACATCCCTCATTATAGACAAGGAGAGGAGGAGAGCAAGAAAAAAAGGTTATTAAATGGAAGTGAAATACCCTGGTGTGGCATATTGTCTTCATTTTCACACTCTCCTTAATTGTATCATCAAACCAAGCACATGTTAAGCAGGCAGGTTATGAGATACATAGACTGCTCATCTTCTGGATCGCTCCAATGACTGTGTGGCAAATCTGAATCAGATGCGCTGAAAGAAGTATTTGCTTTAGTACGGAGAGTGTGGGTGGCTGGCCCTTTGCGGTATAGGAAAACAGAGCTAAGGGGATTAATAGCTGTATAGATGGGATTAATCAGTTAATGTATACATTACAGAATTATCTGGTAAACAGCCATTAGAGCCGCTGCCTAAAAAAGAGGGTTCAACAGCAATACCATGACGGCAAGACAGTACCTGTCTAAAATTTGGCATGCCATTCTCTGGAAAACACTGGAAACCTATCCACAGAGCCTGCAATGTCCAAGAGGATCTTTGGAGACATGACAGTTTGCCTGGCCTAATTGTCATGTCTCCAAACATATATCAATCTAACTGAAAATTAATGGCTGGGGTCTGTTATTGCAACAATGCAATAACAGAAGGCTAAGAAACCTGCATAGATCCCCATGGGATGGGCAAAGTGCATAGTAAGGTATGTGGGCTTGATTTAGTAAATGCCTCCGTCCGAAACTTATTTTACTTCAAGGCAAGGACCAATGTATATGGGGAGGCAGGGAGCAATCTTCTTTCTGGAATGGTAAGGTAAAGGTGTTTTCCAGTGTTTTCCAGAGGATGGCATGCCTAATGGACCCCTGACCATTAGGTCCAGACGTGGCCGACTCTGGGGTTGCGGCGCTCATCTCGCTTTATTGGCCGAGGGAGCCGGCGTACAGCTTCTAGGTCATGTGGCCAGCATGACTAAGTCGCTTCTGGTGAACCAGAGCAGTGCACAGAAATGCCATTACCTTCCCGCCGGAGCGGTACCTATTTATCTACTTGCACTGGTGTGCTTTCGAACTGCTAGATTGGCAGGAGCAAGGACCGAGCAATGGGAGCTCACCCCGTTGCAGGGATTCGAACCACCGACCTTATGATCGGCAAGTCCTAGGCTCTGTGGTTTAACCCACAGCGCCACCCGTGTCCCTGGAATGGTAGACTTTGCTCAATTTCCACACAAATGTCTCCCCACAGGCAGCAGGGCAGTACAGTTCCGCCCACATCACCTACTGGTTAGCATCCACCTGTCTTGAGAGACAATGGAGTATGCTTCCAGGGGTGAAGTCCAACAGCTGCATTAACAGTACTGAAGTGACCTCTGCAAGACACAAGCCTGGGCAGTGTGTATGGAGGTCCTGGGCTGCCCAGATGACATGACACACACACACCCCAGCCTTGCTGATGTGGTCTAAAGGAAAGCAGAGCAATATGTTTGGCACCAGCTTGGCTACAGGAGTTGCCGGAAGGAGGCGTACAAGGTGCCATCCAACTGCCTCAGGGAGTCCACTCCAGATTTGTGTAGGCCAGAGCTTTTCAACCTTTTTGAGTCCCTTGACCAACTACATTATCTCTGTGGCACCCCTGTGGGACTCAAGAGCTCAGTTATGTCCCCCCTTGCCTGCAAAGCTGACAGCCTCTCACCTTTTTTCGAACACTTTCCCTTGTGAAGTACAGTGGTACCTCGGGTTACAGACGCTTCAAATTACAGACACTTCAGGTTACAGACTCCGCTAACCCAGAAATATTACCTCGGGAGAAGAACTTTGCTTCAGGATGAGAAGAGAAATCGTCCGCTGGCGGCACAGCGGCAGCAGGAGGCCCCATTAGCTAAAGTGGTGCTTCATGTTAAGAACAGTTTCAGGTTAAGAACAGACCTCCAGAACGAATTAAGTTCTTAACCCGAGGTACCACTGTATTCTCTCAGCTTCCTCTTCTCTCCCCTCACCTTGGGAATCCTCTGGGCAGCTAATGCTGCTGTCCCTGGTCTTTTGAACTGCCCCCCCCCAAGAGAGGTACCTCCCAGAGGCACCATTCACCTGTAGAGCTTATAGCCAGGGCTGCTGCAACAAACAGCTGTGCAAGCCTTAGGGAATCAGAGACGCGAGAGGGCATCAGAGGAGGGAGGGAAGGAAAGAAGGCCAGTGTTGCCCACAGCACCTCATTCAAGGCACCCCAGGGTGCCATGGCACACTGCTTGAAAACCACTGGCGTAGGGTTTACTCCTTAGCCTTTTCTTCTCCTGAAGATGTCCCACAAGGCAGAGGAGGGTTAGGATTAGAGTTTTCATTCTCCTGGATAAGCTACCTTTCCAGGAAGACAAGCCCCACCTGCCCCTCAATTCCCTCTACAGCATGTGCAGAAACCACCTTCTCAATCCGCCAGAGCCCATACACCCCGCATCACCTATACAAACTATCATCTCAATCTAAGTAAAGAGTGAAGGAGAAGAGGTGGGTACATAGGCTGTAATTATTGTTTTCTGTCTAACTTTCTGGGGTGTTTCTCTCCTGGTGGCTTTTCATTCTCACCACATTCCTGGGAATCCAACCCGCACCAGGAAGTGCCCCCTTCTCCTTTTCCATTTAGAGGATGTCTGTGTATGATCCGTTTGAGTGGAGTTTAAAGAAAGGGGGGTGAATAAAAGAAGACTTCCTAATAACACTCTATTAAGCACTGATTTAGGGACAATCGCCTTTTGCTCTCTTTAATTTCACATCCCCTTTAAAACAGCTGCCACAGTGCAATGGGGACTCCCAGCCAAACAGGAAACACATTGTTAGTTGCCTGCATTAAACCAGTAAAATGCATTAATTTATGAGCTCCCCAATGAGTTTTTATGACCTTCATATCACCTTGTTGTATTGGGTAGGCTCTTGTGCCAAAATGTCTCACACAGTGTGTGTGTGTGTGTGTGTGTGTGTGTACACGTGTGCGCCAGCCATCCCATATTAACACCACCCTACTAGTCCCTTTGAAAAGCTCAAGCAACCCATAAATACTAACATTAATATTATCATACCATCTAAGAATTGGCTAACGCCTGGCATGTGAATTCCATTTACTCTTTCCCTGTTGAACAAACGGTGAGTGTGCAGTTGGATTGTTCCTCATTTAATGCTATTTATCTTTATGATCCTTTCCATATTGAATACTCTCATTTTGCTTTATATGCGGAACAAGAGGGAAGCTCAGGTGAGGTTTTCTCATGGACCTCTGTGATGTGCTTGAGAAACTCCAAAAGATGCCCTTTCTTGCATGCAAACTGAAAAACTTACTCCCTCCTTGGGATATTAAGTGCCCAGGCAGCACTGGGTGCTTGAGAAGGAAGGAAGCAGGGACATTGTTAGAAAGTGGTTGTGGTGTCCAAGCCCTGTGTCCTTTCTGCTTTCAAATCTCCTGCCCTTCCTTTTTTTAAAAAACCAACTTTGTTTAAAACATTTGCTTCTAGGTGGCTGATGAAATCCTAGCCACCCTTCTTATTAATTTCCCAGAGGCAGCTACATATAAGAAACAGCATAAACAAACTATATGCAAATTTGTGAATACGAACGGAATCCTTTCAGTATCTAGCAACATCCTGGCTGGAAGAAAGGAAGAAGTAGTAGCAAATGTGAGTACTGTATACTGCTTCTACAGTCTTGGAGACTGTGATCAATATTAAATTAATAAATAAAGGGCACAACTTGTTACGCCTATTATTTCTGGATCATACTCTTCTTCTTCTGGATAAACAGGCTCCAAGGAGCAGCCATCTTTTTCCTAACCCATCAATTCTATACACCTGGAATGGAGAATGTACTCATTCTGCTCTCCTTAGTTATACAACGGTATTTTAAAGCTGTCCAAAATTGGAACCTGGCCAATTTTCCCCTTGCTGCGGCTGCACTGTAAGGAATTTTCCAGAAGTCCTGTTCATATTCTCCATAGGAAAGCACTGCCCAGTGATTGCATCATAACAGGACTCCCAGCTTAGCTAGGCCTTGGTTTATTTACCCTCTGAATTCCATAATGTATCTTGCGTAACTGTCAGATCCAGACCCAGTTCCGAGACATAGCTGTCAACTTACAGATTTGAAAATAAGGGACCAGCAGCCTTGAAAATAAGGGGCCAGCAGCCAAAATAAGGGACCTGCAGCCTCACCTGTTCCAGGCACTCCAGTCTTCCTGTCCTCCTGCAGTATGGTCAAACTCATGCTGGGTAGCTTCGAGAACACTGTCCAACCAACTTTGTAACCAGAGGTTCAACTGAATAGAATCTGAATCACATGCACCACAAGGCCTATGCAGCCTCAACTTAAGATGGCTCCCCGGCCTGGCTTTGCACTGCAAAGTTTGCAGCAGCACGTGCAACAAAATGGCATCCAGCATTCAAAAAACCCCTCAGCTTGCATTAACTAGCCACACACGGCATGCAAGCTCCACCCCCCAGTTGTTCTTAGACTTCTTATTGGGTGAGCAACACAGCCAAGCAACACAGTTAGAGCCTCCCTCCTCCCTGGCTGGCAGGGAGGGAGGGAGAGGAGCTGCTTCCTTTGAAATTTAAGGGACATCATTTAAGGGACATTTAAGGGACATCCATCAATAAGGGACAGCAGCGGGACATGGTGCTGGAATAAGGGACTATACCTTCAAATAAGGGACACTTGACAGCTATGTTCCAAGATTGTGTTTCACTGGAGCTGTATTCCACAATCAAAATGCAGAATTACAAGACAGCATGAAACTAAGGGACATAGGAAGTTGCCTTATATCAAGTCACACCATTGGTCCATCTAGCTTAGTATTGTCCACACTGATTGGCAGTGGCTCTCTATTATTTCAGATGGGAGTCTTCCTCAGCCCTATCAGGAGACAACAAGGATTGATTCTGGGACTTCTTACATGCACAGCTTTTGCTCTACTACTTTCCCCAAATGTGTGTTGGGATACTGCCAGGGAGATAAAGTCCATCATGGCCCCAAGCCGTCTGCCGGACGATCCATCGACCTCCCGTAGGCACGCAGTATCATCAATTAGCGACATGAGTTTCTAGAAGATTTCTTGCCACATTCCAGAGCTCATGCACACTCTATCAGCAGATAATGCACAGCCAAAAGTTGCAATCAGGAGAGCATTATTTACAAGTTTATTCAGCGTTGATCAGAACACAGAAAAACGTGACTGCCTGCTTTAGTGTCTGCGACACAAGAGAGAAAACGAAAGCAACAGAAAACATAAACATCCTGTGAACAGGAAATACGCAGACTCTGACTCACAAAGCCTGCTCCCTTTTAAGGTGGAACGGAAATATCCTAACATCCTCCCCCTTTCCGTGTAACCTGTAGTACCTGTGGTTCAACCCAATTGCAACCTTTGTACATAAACCTTAAGTTGTTCTCTGTTAACAACCTTAGACAACAGATCAGCAGGAATTTCATTTCCTGGCATGTAGGACACCTGAATGAGTCCTTTCTGAATACACTCTCTTGCACGATGTAGCTTAATCTGCAAGTACTTGGTCCTTTGCTTGCAACTCTCTGAGTTCAGCAAAGCCAAACACGATCTATTGTCTTGATACACTTGTACAGGACATTTCACAGAAACTCTGATGTCCTTAAACAGTTGCATCAACCATTCACAATCCATGAGTGAAAATGACAGAGCATTGAGTTCTGCTTCACAGGAACTTAGGCTCACTGTCGTCTGCTTTTTGCACAACCAGTCAAACAGGCAGTGGTTGTACATGTAGCATACTCCAGAAGTGCTTGTACCATCCGTGGTGTCACTTCCAAAACTTGCATCTGCAAAGATTTCAAGACCTCCAGTCTTCTGACTGGTGAACCTCAGCCTGTAGTGCAAAGTCCCTTTCAAATAGCGGGCTATGCGCTTCAGAGCTTTCCAATCCTGAACAGTAGGATTGTTAGCATGTCTGCTAAGCAGGTTAGTGCTTACAGCTATGTCAGGTCTTGAGCATCTAGCAATGAAATTCAACTTGCCTAGAATGCATCTGTACAGCGTTGTGTCAGAAAACGCTTCAGCAGTACTGTCTACCTGGTAACCTGTCACCATCGGTGTGTCTGCTGGGTTTGCATCAACCAAATTCAACCTGGTTAATACATCAGCAATTTTCTGTGTTTGGTGTACCAGAAAATTACCTGCTTGGTCCCTCTCCACCTGCAGAGAAAGATAGTTGGATACCTCACCAAGATCCTTCATGTCAAAGTGCTCCTTCAGCTGAGCTAGGGTGCTTTGGTAGAAAGCCTGATTCTTCCAAAACATCAGAAGATCATCAACAAAACATAAACAATACAGTTTGTTTTGCCCCTCCTCCTTGACAAACACACATGGATCAGCTTTGCCCTGGTGAAAACCTAGAGAAAGCAACGTCTCAGTGAGTTTCGTGTTCCAACACCTGGCACTCTGCTTGAGACCATATAAGGATTTCCGCAGTTTACAGACCATTCCCTTCTGTATCTGCATCCCGTCAGGTGGAAGCATAAACAGCTCCTCGTCCAAAATCCCGTACAAAAAGCTGTATTAATGTCATGATGGGAAACATGCAGTTTCTCCTCTGCAGCTATCTTGAGCATCAGCCGAATGCTCTCATATTTGACGGTGGGTGAGTAGGTCTCGTGGTAATCCTGTCCTGGTACCTGTGAAAAACCTCTGGCAACCAATCTGGCTTTGTGTCTGACAACCTTGCCATTCTGGTCTGTCTTGGCCTTGAAGACCCATTTGCTGCCAACCAGTCTCATTCCTGGGACTACCGGTACCAGTTCCCAAGTTTGGTTCCTATTCAAGGAATCAACTTCAGCCTTCATGGCATTAAGCCAAGGCTCAGCATCTTTAGAGGTTAACTCCTGAACCTCTTTGAAGCTTGAAGGTTCCCACACCTTCTCTGAGCTACTAAGAACAGCAGTTGCTGTCTTAGCAAACTCATCAGCAAATCTCTTTGGAGGTCTGCCCTTCGTGGCTCTTTCAGATCTGCGTACTAGACGCAAGTCTTCTGGACTCATCTCCTCCTTCTTAGGAGAAAAGTGACCAATGGTGAACAGTGGTTCTTCCAGTTCATTGTCAGACGCATCAGATGGTCTGACTGAGGCCTTTGCGCTCTTGTAGTCTGCTGTGTCATCACTGTCACTGACATCAGCAGCAGCGCCGCCCACTGAACTGGAATCCGAACTCTGATCATCATCGTCATCATCATCCTCAGCAGCTTCCTCAGCTTTAGCTGCTTCTTTGACATCACCTTCATCCTCCTCTGGGTAACTCTGGAAAATTCCCACATTTTCCCCCCACTTAGGATTGTACTCAACACTCCTTGTGAACTTAATGGACTTAGAGTTGGTCATCCATACCCTGTATGCACCTTTTCGTACCCCATGAACAAACCATGTGCCCCACGCTTCCCAAGCTTGTTGCTCTGTGGGGTGTGTACCCACATGTCAGAACCAAAGATTCTCATGTGCTTGATGTTGGGTTTCTTACCAAACATCTTCTCATAGGGAGTACAACCAATAGGTGATGACAATCTGCGATTATAAGTGTAAGCAAAATTCGCCAGAGCCTCCCCCCAATACTTATCAGGGAGATTGGCATCATGCAACAATGTTTTCATTCCTTGCAGCAACGTTTGATTTGCTCGCTCCGCAAGCCCATTCATCCATGGCGATCTAGGCGTTGACAAGTCATGCTGGATTCCCTTCTCAGTCAGGAAAGCTTCAAACTGCTGAGAAGTGAACCCCCGCCTCGATCAGTAAACAGACAGCCAATACGTTTACCGTGAACATTCTCCAACCAAGCACAGAATGCCTTGAACTTAGGAAACGCTTGCGATTTCTGCTCGAGCATAAACACATGAATGTACCTGGAAAAAGAATCAATTAGAACCATGAAGTACCTTGCTCCACCCAAAGAGGGCGCAAGTGGACCAACCAGGTCTGCGTGCACTAGCTGGTAGGGTTTGGAAGCCTGCCTGCTAGACTCCTTGCCTTTTGGAGCAACCTTCACCTTGTTCTCTGCACAAGATACACATTTCATGTGAAACTTACAGGGTTTGATGTTCAAACCCTCAACCATCTCTGGCATCTTGGCCAGTGCCTTCCAAGAGAGATGGCAAAACCTTCGATGTGCATCGTGAATGCATCCTGCATGAAGAACTTTGTTAGTTTGTGCAACACAACAAGAATCAGCATTAGACACAACAGCACCATTGTCGTCATAAGTTATACAGAACAAGCCATCCATAAACTTTGCATGCAAAATGTCCTCTTTGCCTTTTCTGATGACACAGACGCTCCTCTTGAAGGAAATCTCAAAACCACGCCCAGTCAGCTGTGGGACACTGAGCAAATTGTCTGCAGCACCTGGAACATATAGTACATCTTTGATGGTCGTGTGCAGACTTGCCAGTTTCACAGTCCCTTCTCCCGCAATTCGCAACGTCTTCCCATCAGCCAGGTGGATCTCACCATCTTGAGGCGTGAAGGAGATAAATAGGTGGCGGTCCTTTGAGACATGGCGGGTACAGCCTGAATCAACAACAAACCTGGTCTTGGCTTTTGGAGCAGCCTTTGCAGCAAGCAAAACCTTGTTTTCCACCGGCGTGGGCTTTGCAGCTTGCCCCCTTGCTCCTGGCCATCAGACTTGCCTTTAGCCTTTGGTGAGGCTGTGCCAGCAAACAAAACCTTGTTTTCCTCTGGCGTGGGCTCTTCACCCTCCCTCTGCTTCCGGCCATCTGCAGGCGTCTGCCTCTGTTTACCTTTGCCCTTCCGGCCTCTGCAAAGGCGATGACCTTGGCTCCCATGAGAAACAGAGCTCTCAGCTGCCGACTCCTTGGCTCCCCTGGAGGCTGGAATGCTGCCTGGGATGACGTGACAGTCAGCTCCCCTGCAGCTTGCAACCGGTGCCCTCAGCATCCCTGCATTCACTCGCATTCTGGGAAACAGCCAGGACCTCCGATGCAGTCAAACTCTGGGCTGGGATGACTGGCAGATGGGCTATCTTCAAAGCATGCCACATCTTTCGTGCAGTCAGATTGCCAGCTAGCGTCTTTATGTCCTCCAGAGAGACGGACAAGACGACTATGTCTATCGCCCTCAAATTTTCGGACTCCCATCTTTCTGTCAGAGGAACTGGAGGGGCTTCAGACACAGTATGCCACACTCCAAACTGACGCAGCAAGCTCTCACACCACACAGCCCAGGTCCCATAATTGTGCCGATTTAACTTTGGGCACTCAGCAGCCTCAGAAGCTTGGAAAAACTCCATTCCAGGTTTCTACTTGAGCCGTGAATCTTATTCACTTCAGAGACGTCTTATCTCGGCAGCTCATAAATCTTGAGGCCTTTGGCGCGGCTCCCAGATCCATTAATCTGCCAGCCGGACATCAAAGGTGCTTGCCGCGGCAAACAGAAAAGCCTCACTTTCGCTTTTCCTCCACATACCTTTCAGCAGTCTGTCGCAGTCTTACTCTCCTGTAAGTGCTGTGAATCTGGGCCCGAAACCTGTTGTTGGGATACTGCCAGGGAGATAAAGTCCATCATGGCCCCAAGCCGTCTGCCGGACGATCCATCGACCTCCCGTAGGCACGCAGTATCATCAATTAGCGACATGAGTTTCTAGAAGATTTCTTGCCACATTCCAGAGCTCATGCACACTCTATCAGCAGATAATGCACAGCCAAAAGTTGCAATCAGGAGAGCATTATTTACAAGTTTATTCAGCGTTGATCAGAACACAGAAAAACGTGACTGCCTGCTTTAGTGTCTGCGACACCAGAGAGAAAACGAAAGCAACAGAAAACATAAACATCCTGTGAACAGGAAATACGCAGACTCTGACTCACAAAGCCTGCTCCCTTTTAAGGTGGAACGGAAATATCCTAACAATGTGTACCCTTAGCTTTACACTAAATATGCCCCAGACTGTGTACTATAAATCTCTTCAAAATCTTCCTTACAAATCTCTGCCACTCTAAAGGTGCAGTTCTCTTCTTTGGAAGCAGCTCTCTTACAAGCTCTAATGTCTAGACCTGATGGAAAGATGCAGTCATTAAGATATACACAGAGATTATTTCAGAGACCAGAGTTCTCTGGGAATAGGGATTGTTAACACCACTCTGGGAACTGTAGCTTGGGTGGGGGGTGAATAGGGGTCTCTTAACAAAGCTCAACACTCTCAACAAACTACAATTCCCTGGAGTCTTTGGGGGAAGCCATGACTATTTAGTGTTATGATGCCGCTTTCAATGTGTAGTACATATGGGGTCTGCCTCTCTTGTATCATAGTATCTCTCTACCACCTCTTTCTCAGAATTACTATTCAGTTAATGTACAGTATTACTTATTTCAGATAAAAGCCTTATCTTACTATATTAAAATAAGTAAGAAATCAAAGCCCAATTACACATACAAGCTTAATCCAATCATATTTACTTGGAAGTAACTCATGCATTGGACTGCAAGAAAATCAAACCTATCCATTCTTAAGGAAATCAGCCCTGAGTGCTCACTGGAAGGACAGATCCTGAAGCTGAGGCTCCAATACTTTGGCCACCTCATGAGAAGAGAAGGCTCCCTGGAAAAGACCCTGATGCTGGGAAAGATGGAGGGCACAAGGAGAAGAGGATGACAGAGGACGAGATGGTTGGACAGTGTTCTCGAAGCTACCAGCATGAGTTTGACCAAACTGTGGGAGGCAGTGGAAGACAGGAGTGCCTGGCGTGCTCTGATCCATGGGGAAGAGTCAGACACGACTAAACTAAACAACAACAACTCGTGCATGTCTTCAATGGGACTTGCTCCCAAGTAAATATGCATATTATTGCAGTCTTACTGTACAATCAACACATCAACTCAAAATCAAGTCCCATTGACATCAATAATGTTTACTCACAGGTAAGTGAACAGATTGCAGCCTTCCGTTTTTAGAAGTAAATTAAACTAGGCCTTCATCCTAAAGATTCAGCATGAGCTTAGGCCTGCTTAACTAATTGATTTCAATGGGTTTATGTGTACCTAACTCTGTGTTGGATTGTGCCAATGATGTGCACTAACTCCTACTTCTTTAAATGGGCCCACACTCCAGTGATTGGAACAGTCCAGTTTTTCCAATTTCAGTGAAGAGTGGATAGATTGCACCTAGCATGGCAGCCCCACTAATTTCAACAAGTCTGACTTTAAATCCATATTTTGTTGAACAGAGGGCAAAGAAGAATAGAAGTAACAGCAGTAACACTCTATTCTCCTGAAGCTTGCGTGGAAATAAATCCAGTTGATGTCACAAGAGCCTGTCTCCACATAATGGATTCAGAGTTCTTAAATACAGGTATTTTAGTTTGCAATTAGTCCACTTAGAACACTACGAATTCTATGCTGTTTGGGGGGGGGGGGCAGGGAATGAGAGAATTCCTGGATGCCAAAATCCAAGTTTGGGAAAATTACTGCTTCGTGAGAGAACCCCAGCAGAGATTTAAAGTCACAAAATATGCAGCAAGTAAAGTGTGGAAATATAGGCTGTTAGACCTTTAAACTATGCCCTTTCAAGTAAGTTCCCTCTTCCAGCAGCATAGGAAAAGACCACACGTTTGGTAAGTTAAAAATTGGTTTATTTACAAACTCTTCAAATATCTGGTTCGTGTACTTTTCCATACATCAGTCAGAAAACTTGCACAGGCAGTAAAACTTAGCTTAGTTACAAAGTGGTAAAAATTCCTAGATTATTGGTATAGGAACTCAAGAGTGGCTGGTGAGAGCCAAGCAGTTGAGCTGCAGCAACCAGTTCAAACCTCCTCACACAGTGAGTTTCTCAGGTAGACTAGGGGCAATAGGAAAGATTACCTATTTCCTCCCAAGGTGAGGGGAAGTGACATAGCTATGCCTGGTGGGACTGCATACTCTATGGCATTAACCCCTTCGTGCATTAATTAGACTGGAGTATGTTGCTTGCTGGTTACCTCATTTTCTAAACATTTCTGCTGCCATGGCTTTCTGGAGGAATGCAGGCATCATGGTTGACACAACAAATTTGGGGATAAGGGTGTAATTGTTTTAAATCCATTTTTAATTAAGTAGCTAGTGAAGGAAACTAGTCCACCCATAATCCTAAACACGTTTACGCCAAGTCCTAAATTAAGGTTACCAGACGTCCCCGTTTCCCCGAGGACACTTCCCGGATTTACAAATCAGCCCCCATACAAAATCCATTGAAAGTGTCCCCGAATTCATTGAAAAAAATCTGGTAACCTTATCCTAAATTCATCTCGCAGAGTTCAATAGCACTACTTCCTAGCAAGTATCTTGAAGACTTTAGTGCATATTATGAACTGTGTGTATTATGAACTATGTATTTTGATTGTAACCTGCCCTGGGGCCTAAGGTGAAAGGCAGGAAAATCATCATCATCATCATCTGCACTTAAAATGGTTTGGCACAAAAACTGCATTGTGCACACCTGTTCTTAAGAATCAGATTTGTGATGAATCCAGGTTCTCAACTGCAACAACTTTTCTAAACCACTGCCCCCCCACACACACCCGTTTTCCAAACAGGCCTCTAGCTCCTCTGCATCCCCCAATTCAGGAGGGTCAGTCTTGACTTGACCGAAGTTGCCTTGCCTTAAATCTCACGAGACCAAGATATGTGATTTATGTACAAAACCTACAATCTGGTGGTTCTTTGTATCATCAGCTCCAAAAGAGGGGAGTGGAAGACTCTTAGGCTTAAAGCCATTTTGTCAAGGCAGGCTAAGCTCCCCCCACCAACCCCCTGCCAACTTTACCATCGTTCTTAAGCTGCCTCCATAAAGGAAAAGGGAAACAAGGTATGTCCCCTTCAACCCAGGAAATAGGGGAGGTTGGGCCAAGCCTATGCAGAAGGAAGCTCTAATGTGTGCGATGAGTTTAGGATTGCTGCCTTGGCCACAATGGGATGATGGAGTGAGCTTTCTTGCTCTTGCTTCAATAAGGAAACAGCAAGCTAGCAACACTTCTTACGCACCCCCACCAATCCACCACACCGACCCCCGCCGGCCTATTAGTCCTTTCTTCGGCTGTGTGTTGCTGTATCCTGTTATTCAGCGATTTAATAAAAGGCCTTGCTAACTTGAGAAACTGGAGGATTAGGCCTAGCAAGAGAAGGGAGTCCTGCTCCTGTAAATCCCCAGGCAAAGACCTTGTTATCCACTGCCAGGGTGAGGGTCTCCATAATAATCATCCCCTAGAAGGCAAGGAAAGAAAAAGGAAAAAGGAAATGTTAATGTTGTCTGTCGCTGGCAGTGGCGAGTAAGGAACGAGCAGGCGGCTGGGGTGGGGGCTGCAAGGGGTGGAAGGGGGCAATTTGAGAGAAGGAAACGAAGGCAGCCAATTTGTAGGCCCTGTGCCTCATCAGGGCCGCTCGGGGCCTCCGCGTTTTGCTCCTGATTGGGGAAAGGGGAATAGGCGAGGGGGGATCAAGGAGACTTGCTGGAGGAGGGGGGCCGAATAACAAGCGATAAAGGAGGTCGCCTTTGCAACAAGGAGGTCTTCTCTGCCAAAGCGTGGCGAGGCAGGGTCCCCGGCCAAAGGTGGGCCAACAAACCTGCCCTCCTCTTTCCAGGATCTCTTAGCTTTCGCTCTCTCCATATATATATATATATATATAAAGGCAGGGGGAGCTTTCTCCGTTGCCGCCTCCTGCCTCCTCGGCAACTGGCACCAGCCCTCTGCTAGGGCAGACACGCACCGGAAAGGGTGATCCCCTTCGGGAAGAGGGGGGTGGATTGGAAGGATCACGTTCTTCGAGGCCGCCGGCACTGCAGGAAGCGGGAGCCGGGGTCGGAGAGAGAAACCGAGGGCGCGGGGCAAGGTACACATACACGGCGGAAGGCTCCGCTCTCGTCTGGAGGGGTCTCTCTCTCTCTCTCTTCCCCCCCCCTCGGCCGTGTGTGCTGGTGGTGGGACCCTGGGTGACTGACGTCAGAAGGAGCCGGCGTGATAGCCGGGAGAAAATCTGCCAACCCCCCGGCACCGGCTGCTCACAGCTCCCTGCTGGGCCGGGGGACCAGAGCAGGCGAGGGGCGGGAGGCGGAGGGCTGCTGCTGCTGGGCCGGAGCGCCCTGAAGGGAAGGGAGGACGGGCCTCCCTCCGACGGCTTCCCGCGAAAGGCTTGGAGAGCGGAGTCGACATGGACCCTGGCAGGACGCTTAAAGCGCGCTGAGGAGGAGGAGGAGGCCGCCCCCGCCGCCGCCGCTATCCTAATTTTAGCAGCCCGTTCTCTGCTGGGATAACATACGAGGCGCTCCAGAAGACCAGGGCGCGAGCAAGGGTAAGCGCCTCGCTACTCGGGTCGCGGGGGCGGGCCGGTGTCGCCGCTTTGCGGATTCCACAGAGCTCCTGGTCTCGGAATCTGTTGTAGTCCAAGGGGAGCTCGAAGCCTTCCCTCAATCGTTTTGGGAGACTCGGGGAAGGCTTCCCCTTTGCCCCCGCCCCAAACCCCACGTTGTTTATATACCCCCTTGCTTCTCCTCCACCACCACTCTAGAGGGCAGTGCTTAAATCTGGAAAGGGGGCGGGGGGGGGCGGAATCTGGAGTTCCTAACCCCACATCCAAGGGGATTTCTCTTGAGAATGAAAAAGCGAGGTTATCTGCTGGCCCGCAGAACGATCCGTCCGGCGGAGTCGCCTTGACCGATCGCCCGTCGGGTTTTGTCAGCCTGGAGGGATCCTGTCGATCGCCGGGCAACCCCGGCCGGGCCCCGCCCTCTCTCTCCTTGGCTGCCTCGGCCTTTTCCCCCGTCGAAGTCGCCGCCGTCCCCGCGGCTTTCCTAATTGCAGCCTGGGCTTAGCCTTGAAGTTGCAAGTCCTTGACTTCTTTATACCTTGTATAAATTCTCGAGGGCTCCTGCGCTTCGTCAAATCTGACAAATATACCCGAAAATATAATTCCAAGGGGGTTACCTCATTTTGCATACTGCGAAGATGGAAATCAAACCAGAACTACTTGCCAAGGGGAGACAGTTCTCGGGGCTGTCTAGTGTCAAGGCTGCAGGGGACAATTTCGTCTCCTGCGCGTTGTGGATCAGCATGACAAGAAACACGTCGGAACGTCGCTAATAAATGTTATATTTTTATGGAATTCGATTTTCTTTTTATAGCTGCAGCTACTTGATCCTGAAGTATTATTATAATATATATATGCAGTTGAAAAGGCTAACCTAATATTTCACAGGTGTATTTTTCTAGAGGTCATGTGACAAGAGCTTAAGGTCCAAATGATTTTTTCAGAGCGCTGATTTATCCGCCAGAACGCGAATAATTTGCCAAAAGTCTAGGAGGACTTTAGGAAGAACAAATAAAACTAAGAATGCATTACTCCAAAGAGAAATCAAGTAGGAAACCCGATGCCTTACAAAGACGATGTCTTTTTTGTTTTTTTTTTACATAGACCGAAATAACTGTTGGTTCTAGTTATTAAACTGCAAACAAACGGTTTAATAAAATAAACAGGAAATCAAACTGTCCACATTCAAAACCTAAATTGAAGCTATTTTATTAAACTGGAAATATCCATTTAAATAAAAATATATACACGATCAAAACTGTTCTGACTTAAATCCTAAATGAGATTTGTGTTATTGATAATGAAGCATGTACGTTCATTTCCCGTCCATGTACAGTAATTGCTGCCCTAGTTAAACGCTGAATATAATCCTTAGTTCCTCTTACTAGAAATTAGTTCCTTGGCTTTCTTTGCACTCCTTGCACAGCTTAAGGCAGACTACTTGAGTTTATGTAAGTTTCCATAGTAAACCCTGGTATTAAAGCATAGAAGAGACTACATTATTTAAACAGAACTGACATCCAAGTATGTTTGTTCAGGACTTGAGTTTTACTTGGAAGAAAGTTCTATTTCTATCAAGGCTGATTACTTTTTTAAAAAATAAATCAAAATCTGGGTGCCAGTCCCATAATCATTTTAAATCCAAACAACACTGGGGTTTATAATGGATTGTAGATTAGAGTAAAATAAAAATAAATAAAACAATCAGCCAAGCATTTGTCAGCAATGTGAATAAGGCAGTAGCACCAAAAGAGAGAGAAAAGCTACCTGATGTACACTTCTGTCTACCTGTGTGCACACATCTGTGTCAAGGTTCTGAATCTGTTCCTGTCTAATTTGAGGTTAGACTAATATCTTTGGTTTCTTTGCATGTTATCCACCCTGGCAATTCTTGTTACTATTACAGTGAGGGGAGCCGGGAATAGATAGGTGTTGGTTGTGTGGTTTTCATTTTAATCTACACACACACACACTCCTGAGATATAGTCCTAAACATTCTCTGGGAGGTATATCCCATGGAACTTACTTATGGGTAAACATATTAATATTGAGTGGCAAACTACTTCTGTTTAATAGTTCCAGTCTGGATAATACAGTACTATGTGGACGGGTGAAATGTTCTTTTATTTGGCTTTTTAAACATTTAATTGCTTGCTAAGATAAGAAAGCGCCCAGCTGCAAATTCCCATAGTTTCCTAATCTTTTTCGTACTCCCGTTGCCCCCACCACCCCGTCCCATTCGGAAAACCTCCATCAGGTACGAGGAGCCCTGGGGAGAATCGGAAAAACGGAATATTCAGCTTCTGTAGTTTTGAATTTGGGGTTGGCATCCTGTCCAAGTCAGTAGGAAATCCACTCTTGGCTCTAGATTGCGCCAATGCAACCCGACTCTGTATGTTTACTCGGAAGTAAATCGCACCGTGTTCAGAGGTACACAGAATAAGTGGGGAATAGGACTGCATCCGCTCGCTTTATAAATTCTCCCTTTCCAGTGTGCGGGAAAGCAGCTTTTTGCTAAAATACAGCTTTCCAAGAGTGACTGTCAAACACTTGCCGCTGCCATTTTATTTTATTTTTTGGAGGGGAGCCACCTTAACATACCTTGGGACAGTAGAGCCGACTTCCCAATAAATCCCAGGCGTGATCCGCCAAACCTAATTCCTCCATTGATTTCCATTAAAGGGAGCTAAGCACGTGCCTAAATCAGCGGGACCTAAGTGTCCCCTATTTGCAAGGGGTGGCTTGGGTATAGGCCCTTAAGAGAAGGCATTCAGCTGAAATATTGGGTGTGGGTTTTTCCATTAAAAATTAATAATCGTGGTTTTGGTATAAATCTTATCTGTTTCACCCTTCCAGCATGCATGCATAGATACACATATACAAGCATCCCCATGCGAATCATTTACGGTGTGTTTTGTTGTCTACACAGATTGTATTATGGAACTGGGTCTGCCCAAGAGTATCCCTCCCTATGTGGATTTAGGTAAGACAGTGTCTATTCGCTAGAGAAATTCGGAATAGCAGGGAAGCGGGGGAGGGGAGAGGGGGGGTCTTCCTGGGCATTAGGCTCCGCGTCGCTTTTAATACTCTAGTAAAGTCCATTGAGCCCTTTTTTAGTTGGGCGGATTTCTATAGGCACTAATTGAGGCGCGTTTCTTTTATTTACTCTTGCCTCCCTATCTCTAACTCTGCGTGTGCTGCTGATTAACTCGGCTCTCTCCCCCCCCCCCCAAAAAAACTTTAAGGGAATATTTGACTCTCACCCCCCATCAAGTTGCTACTAGTGTTAAGATAAAGCGGGATGTTTTTCCCCCCAAATACAACTGCAAAGGCATCACCAGCCTTATCTGAGCTATGTCTCTGCGATGTTGTTTGCTCTCTGGACCCCATGACTGCAGGGAAGATAATGGATGGAGCTGGCACACGCTGATAAGAACTTGGAAGTATAAAGTCCCGTGGCTTTCTGACTTCCAGAGAAACATGGTCAAGGTGGGGATGTTGTTTGGGTGCTGCGATCCTGCAAGTACTTGATCTCAAGGGGGAGGGGGAATCCAGCGGGGTTTTCATCAGGTCCAGTGTGTGCAGGATCGCCTTCTACGAGGCTCACTTTCCATAGAGTTTCGACTCGGGGAGAGTCAGTGAAAACTGTTTTATAATGATGATTTATTTTTATTTTTTTAAAACTCCTATAAAACTTTCTATAATGAATATACATACGGATCCGCAGCTAAACTCAGAACCAGAAAGGATTTTAGCCGATGTCGTGATTAGCTCCGCTTAGCTGACTTGTAGATTGCACTTGTCTGGGTTCTGTTTTTCTTAATGGGGGTTTTATCGGGCGCGGACGAAGTTCTTGAAACGTTTATAATTACAATTATTAAATATTGGTCGTTGATCGTTCTCCTCAGCAGAGTCACCGGGTTGTCAATTTAGCTGTGTTTAAAGGCATCTTGGGTTTGTTGGTTCTCCACAAAGGGTAATTATTTGTCTGATTTTTTTGTCGTTTGAAACAGGAAACATTCCTGGCTGGGTTTGCTCTGAGCACATTAAAAAGCCCCGTGCGTTATTAGAATACTTCAGCCTTTCAGGAAATGTCCCGTTTGGGGGGGGTGTCTCTCTCTCTCTTTCTCTCTCTCTCTCTCTCTCTCTCCCTCCCTCCCTCCCTCCCTCCCTTCCTCACCAAGCAAAATACTGCGAGCAATTAAGAGGCTTGCTCGAATGAAACAAGGACAAGGGGGGTGGGTTTGAAATACATGTTGGAAACACAATCCCGAGTGGCTCCGATTGCAGCTTCTTTTCAGCTTGGGAAGGCTCCCTAACGAATGAGAGAGGCTAGTGGTTCCTGCGCTTTTGATTACACTGGATCAGAGGCATATTTTTTAATTCCGCCCTAAAGAAGAAGGGGAAAAATCGCACCAAGTTCAGATGAAGAGATGCCCTGAGTAATATGAGCAGCCTGGTTAACAAACTCCCCTGCCCTTTTCCTCCATCAATTAATCTGAAAAGCATGTTCCCAGAGGGGGCGAGCTAAGGAACGATATTATAGTTGCTTATCCTGCCCCTCCGGACGCTTCCGAAACTTCCCTTCTCTTCTGCTCTGAAGATAGTCAGAGCTATTAAAGAAGACAGCAACCCGCAGCTCGTGGACTCCGGGGCCCGCCTAAGATCAATAGATCTGCTCTGGTGTAAGTGCCCAGCGCAGCCTAACAGGGAAATTAGATGCGTGTTTTATTTCCCCCTGGAAAGCGAATCCTATTCCGTGCAGTGGGTCTTCAACATGCACAGGGCCGGGCTGCAGCCGAAGTCGGAATGCAGCGCGTTCTACTGCAAGGAAGCGTCTCGATTTTGCAGCAATAAAGTCCCAGGCCAGCCAAGGAATGAGTGGTCGCCTCGAAGTGCGACCTAGAGCCGGGATTCGGAGCGCGTCGATTCAGAGACCACTGAGTCGGGCGGGGTCCCTGCTACGTGCCTTCAGCCTCACGGTGTCCAAAATGGGATTCAATGTAATTGTCCCGAAACTGAAGTGCCAGGCTGTCACTCGTGTATTTCAGCCCCAAGGGCTGCTTCTTTTAGTAGAAACTGGAACTGTGGGACCTCTTTCCTTTTAAACGAATAGCAAGGCAGACCACTATTGTCTACACCAAGGATGAGGAAACCGGTGGGACCTCCAGATGTCGCAGGAGTACAGCTGTCACCCTCCCCCTGGCTGTCTGGACCCCATCAACATCTGGAGGGCCAGAGGTTCCCCGTGGCTGGCCCGGCAGCGGCTCAGACAGGGGCCTTTCGCAGCCCTTGCCTGGCGATGGCGGGACTTGAACCTGGGACTGCATGCAAAGCAGATGTCTCTGCCCGCTCTTATTATCTGATACTTCTTCCCACACGCGCTCTGCAATCCTCTGCTTTTTCTTGGAACGTCCAGGATCAGGACGCAAGAGAGCCTCCGCATCCTAATAAGAGGCGGAGGCCCCCCGAGAGAGGCTCAGCCATTGCGCTCTGGCGGCCTGGGGCCCCGCAGTCACCCAGGCGCGCCTTAGGCAGGCAGGCAGGCAGGCCGGCTGTCCCGGTGCCAAGCGGAAACCCAGCTCGCTTTGCTGGAGGGGGAGGGGGCAGGGAAGGGCTTTTCTTTCTTCCCAGCTTTGGAAAGCATGTTCAAGCGGCGGGTGGAGGGGAGCGGGAGAGATCAGCGGCGGTTCCGGCAGCCAGTTGCTGCTCTTCGAAAAAGCCTTGGGGTGTCATTTGTATCTGTCAGGGAAAATTAAGCTTTCTGTTTTTTAGCCCGCGTTTTTGTCAGCTCTCCCAACGTTTAGTTCAGGGCCGCTGCCTTATTATTAAAGCCCCATCATCTGTTTGGACAGTAATATATTAAAGACGTTGCATCTGCGCAGCGCACGATGCCTCATCCTATTACAGTTAGAGCTCCACACGAGTCCACACACACGCACACTCTCTCTCAAATCCGTGCAGGTAGATTGCTGATATGCTGCTCCCAAACTGGGTCCCAGTGCTCGCGAAAGAGTGCATTTGCCACGTCTGAAGAGAGAGGGTGGGGGGTGAGACGGAGAAAGTAGGTGGTCCTCGCCCATTTATTTAACTAATCTGGGTTTTCTAGCTTGAATTTATCCACTTCTGAAGCTTAAAGCTGGAATGTCACTTGAATAAATAGATCGCCCAGAGGCAAGTTTTGCAGACCAAGCTCCGGAGCAAATTCTTTTGTGTGGTTGTATGTCCCCCTTGCATTTTTTTTTTTTAAGGAGGGGAGTGGGATCCCGTCACGGGGCTAAAGAAGGGTTTTTGCCCGAAGACAAGGATGACTGAATCAAATAGCAAGGCAAAGCCAGAAGGTGGGGGATCATGCACAGCCCCCCACCTCTCATGGATTGCAATAACGCAGTGGTGGTAGTTGTGAGGGAGTTGCTGAACTTGACACAGCGGAGTGGATGTTGCTTGTTGGGCTGTACGTGTCAGGATGCGCTTTGATCAGCGAGGAGATTAGTTTTTCTCTTCTTGTGCACCCCCCAAGAGAGGGCGAAGTCCCTCAGTGGTAGGAGGGAGGAGGGCCTGTGGCTTATTGTTGTAGCCCCTGTAACTTTCCATTTCCTCCTCCTGGGCGACCCCCGCATGCCTGGGTTGGTCCTCGGACCTCTGGGACGCCCCTCCAAGTGCTGACGCTGCTTGGGCGCCGGTGTTGACCTGGCAGTGGTTTGTGTAAAGGGCCAGAAGTTGACCTCCAGTCCTGAGGGCCGCCATGCGCGACGAAACCGACCAGCCTGCTTGTTCTCCCAACACACCCTTAATAAAAGCAGCCTCGCGCTTAAGTGGGTAAACGTGGTCTGCGGAGAGAGGGAGAGACTCTTTCTGGGGTCCTGAAACCCCCAAAAAAGTGCCTCCTTCTTCTTAAATGCTCCCCCTTTCCCTTCTTGCTGCGATCGCTTCCCAAGCCCAAAGCGCGTTGCCCTCCGCTTTGCATTGGCACCTCCGTCGTCGGGGGTGTTTTTATGTTGGCAAACGGCTCAGGGAGCTGTTTTATTGTCCCGTGTAAAATAAAAGGCTCTATAAAACCTGCCTCGCTCTGGATGGCTGCCACGGTGGTGGACGCTAGGGGCACCTGGAGCGGGGCAGGCGCCTTCTGCTCCTTCTCCGCCCTGGCTAGGACAGACCAGCCGGCGAAGGATCCGCCTGCGGGGCCCAAAGGCCACGGGTCCGCTTCCAAGGACGGGGCCGGTGTGATTCCCGCCGCCGCCCCCCCCCCGTGGCATCCTCCTGGTCACCACAAGCACACCACCACCGCAGAGACGGGGTGGCGGGGCTGCAGGCCCAATGCTGTTGGTGGAGGGCAGAGGCAGCTGAGCGGGCAGATCCGGCGGCAACGCGGCGCGATCACGCTTCTATAACGCCTTGGGCAAGTGGGAGAAAGAGGCCCGGAGGAGCCGCGCCCCTGGGACTCCATTAGCATCGCCACCTCGGGGAGGCGCGCAGGGACTCGCGGCTTTAAGAAGAAGCAGGCTGCTTGCAAATCTTAAGAGCCGCCGCTCCGCCGCAAGGGTTCCCCTTCCCTAGGCTTCGATTTCAGCCTGTATCTGCGTCCCCATCCTTAAATGCATTTATTTCCCCCAATAAAGGCGTTGGGCATTGGTTCAGTTGGCTTTCGTGGGACTCGCGCCCTGATCCGACCGAAACAAATGGTTTGGAAATACAGTAAGTCCCCGTGGAACTGGTTTTCGAGGATCAGCTATACCTCGCAGCACGTCTGAGGTCGGGAGTCGGAGAGCTGCCCCTTGGTTGGCGAGGCTCTGCAGTCCTCTCCAAGGCTAGCTGGGAATGAAGTCCCGCTTCACCCTCCCACGGGGACGGACTTCCAGATTTAAAAGGGCGCAAGATTTGGACCGACTTCGCCGATCTCCTTATGGAGCGCTCCTTGGCGGGGAAATGCAGGCAGATAACGATCCGCAGATAATGGGCGTCTTGAGCTGTCGCGGTGCTCGCATACGCGTCTTTGTCTCCTGGGTTTGGTGGCGCGGGATGCGAACTTCTCCCCCCCCCCCACGCGGGACAGATTAAGTTTCAGTGCGCGCAATGGAGAGTCTCGTGGCAATCCGTGGGGTTAGTTTCCTGCCTTTCGGGCTTCGGTGAGACGTGGCTGCCGCTCACCCTCCCCTGGGACGCAAGGTTTGAACTGTGTGCTTTGCATTTGTGCGAGGAACTGCATTTAAACCACGCGGAGGTCTTCGTTGGCGATTTAAGGCTTTAATAATTGCCTGATATTAGCTTTTGTCTGCTTTTTGTGAATTCAACACATACCAGTCGCGTCCCATCCTACGCCGTTAGTATGCGCACCTTTGAATGTTTTCCACCTCCCTCCTGGTTTCATTATTTGGGTTCCACAGCTCTGAGCAGACAAACCAGTTAATCCGAATTCCTTGTGTACAAAAGTGAATTGATCCCATGCACATTTACTTCGGAGTGAGCGCCGTTGAATTCAGTGAGACTTACTTCTGCATGGACAGACCTAGGATTGCGCTATTGGTAGGTTTCAAAATCGAGGGTACAACCATTTAACCTCAAGCCAGCAGTGTGCTGTTTTATACTAAATTATGTAACTCTCAAATTAAATATATATATATATATGCAGAAGCAGAAAGTATTCCCCCCAAAACAGAATACAGTACTACTGGTGCGAATCTTAGAATAGCACACACACACACCCCAGTTATAGATCAGAGAACGGTTATATGTAAATGGACAAAAAATTAGGAAGACCAAGAAAGGGGCACAGCTACGTTGATGCCTTGCTTACAAGGTATATCCTTCCTGCATTGGAGGGGGTTGGACTAGATGACACTTGGGTTCCTTCCAACTCTACGGTTCTATGACCCTGAGATCAGAATAGACGCACAGTCCTAAGAAAATGTATTAGGGAGCATCCCCACCGGGCTTTCTTCGAAGTCAGCACGCACAAGAGTGGTCTGTTAGGGGCCTGCCTAATACTCTCTTGGGAAAAATAGAGGACTCACAAGCGAGTCGTGTCCCATATTTTAAGATTATGAGTGCAATCGGAGAATAATTTACAACAGGTTTTTTCAGATTAGGTCATGGGCGTAGCCAGGATTTTTGTTGGCGGGGCGGGACTTGGTATGGGGGGGCAGGACTTTCGTTAGGGGGCAGAACCGACGTGATTGGTCAGTTAGTTAAGTATTTCTATTGTTTTACTTGATCTAGGGGGCAGCTGCCCCCCTGCCCCACCCTTGGCTGCACCCATGGATTATGTAAATGCACAGGTAAAATAAAGACTGCTGTCTTTCCTGCTGGCAAAATGGGGATTGTAAGATCCTTGGGGCAGGAACCCTTTATTTAGGTATTTATTTTGTTTGTCGCTCTGTAAAATCATTAAAAATAACAGCCAAGCAAGCCTTAGTTTAAAAGTAAAAGGCGTGCCTCAATAGTGAACAGAATGATGTAGGCCAACTCAAGCGCAGCTTGAAGCTTTATTCTGCCTTTCAATTTTTTAGTATCTCCCTCCTCCCTCTCCTTCCAGCCATTTTCCGAGCTGCACCTTCTTGTGCAGATAGAACTTATCTCTCCTGACGAGATAGAAATGGCTATTGTTCTTGTTTGTTGTCTGGAAGAGGAGAATGGGCACATCATTCAACGCCACCCACAGTCTCATTGTCTTCTTGATAAAACAGTTACATATTTTCCTTAGAAATCTTGGGGCATATTTTGCTTTGGCAAGCAGCGCACAAATGGAAGTACAGATGGTGAGTCTGAAATGAGGGGGCTCAGGTTGCATAAATAATAATAATAAAAATGTTTCTCCCTAATTTCCTAACTCTCTGCTTCCTCCACGGGAGAGAGCACAGCCCCAAGTCAACCAACGTCCAAAAGTCTTCCTACGAGTTTTTTTGTCAGAACTTGCCATCCACGCATACGTGGTTGTGTGCAATGAATTATACCGTTTTAAGGATACAATCCCGCTGGGAGAAAGTCCCATTAAACTCAGGGGGACTTACCTCTGAGTAGACATACATAGGCTTACCTTGTTATTCATTAACCAACTGTCCTCATTTGGAGACATATGCAACCAGAGCCTGTGCATTTTTAAAAAAAAAAAATCGCGGATGTTAAGTCGCACTGAATCCAATGAAATTTACTCCCCAGTAACTGTCCACAAAGCATAACAATTTGGGCAAGTTCTGTCGAGAGTTACGCATTCTCCCCCCCCCCCCCCCTCCTCCTTTCTTGGCTGGAAGCGTTTCTTACGGAACCCAGTTGGTCTTGGCAATGTCTTGGGCAACGTAGCGCAATACTCCTGCCGGGAAGGGAAACGCCCGACCAGGGCACAGGATTGCTTGCCGGAGTGAACCGGCTCAAGGACCAGTTCAGGTCCCATTTAAAGCCACCTGATTAACTTGCACGTGTGAATTCGTCAATCGATTGTATCAGCCAGCGATTGCTCTCAGCCCTGTTCCGGGCGCTTAGATTGTATCCAGACCAAAATCTCACCCTTGAGGTTCATGCAGCCATCCAACGCTTTGCCCTACTGAAAGCACGATGGACTGACTGGGAATATCAGTCAGTTAAAATATTGCTTGCTAAACGTCTGAGGAAATAAGGAGATTTTATTGTTTTAAAAAACACAAAATAATATCCATGTCGTCCTAGGAGCGTTTGTGGAGCTTGTGCGTCAGAAGACTGCCTAATATATAAACTAGTAGTTCATTATAATAGGCTTCTCCTTGGAATTTGAGAGGAAACGGTGTCACTTACTCTTTAACGATTTTCAATAATTTATCGGCGAAACATGAGTCTGTTTAGCGCTAATAAACCTGCAGAAAATCGAGCGGGGGGGGGGGAGGCGGAATTCCACATTTTGCTGCCAGGTGGCTTTTAAGTGAGATCTAAGGGTTACTGTCCTGTGCATAATACCCTGTTTAGTAATCAGCTCTATATTATAACTTAACTGGTTTATGGATCGGGCTGTACAAGGTGGGCGGGGAGACTTTCTTTAAAAAGGAATCATCAAGTTTAAAAACACACACACATCGTGGGCTGCTAGTTTGAACATTAGAAAACTACTGAGAAATTAGCCGTCGCAAAACGACCAAGCGGCGGAGAGAAATCGCCCAGTCTGAACATTCATGTGATCGAGTTGGACTTTATTGTAAAAACCCACAAATACATAGGCATACGGATCCAGAGCGCATAGGAGCTCCTGGACGTACAGATCCAGCTCAACAACTCTAGGTATTTTTCTTGTACACAGATAGGGGGCGGGGGTCAGGCGGGGAAGCCTTTTTGCAACCTTCCACAATTTTGGCTCAGAACAGCTCCAAGCAGCGCCATCCGGAAACCCCAAACCGCGTTTCACACGTACCACTTTTAAGCCACCGCGTCCCAGCATTGGCATTTGAACTATACAAATACCTTTGCACCTGTTTTTTAATAGATTGATGGCCAGGTAGGAAGCTTGATTTACAATCGCATTTCAGCCTTCTCGTGAGTGTGTTATGATGAACTTTATGTTCGGAGCACATTTTTGTTCCCAGGGGAATGCAGGCATTTGGGAATAGCTTCTTGCGACGTTTAAACCTCCCTGTAGGAACAAGGCTTGTAGTAAAAAACGGTGCAGTCCCGTTGTCACAAGACCAACAGACTGCGTCCCAACCACACATTCACTTGCATTTTCAGCCAAAACAAACATGCTTGCAGCTTCGAAATTTAGGCTTAGATCCGGATTTATAACCAGGTTTTAATTGGAGGAACTCCTTCTAGCCTGATCCCAGACTCGGGAAAGAAAACAAGTCGTGTAGAAGTTTACTGCGCAACTTTCTACATTTCACTGATAAAGCAAGTCCCATTGTGTTCAGAGGGACTTGCTCCCTAATAAATGCGTTTAAGGCCGCAGATTTGGGCCGCAATCCCTATACACCTTTTCCTGGGAGTAAGTCGCTTACCAAGCTCAATGGGATACTTCTGAGGAGGCGTGTATAAGATGTCAGGCTCGGGATCCTGGTTCTGGATAGCATTGTTGCAGACGGGCCGTTGCAACCATTCTGACACCGGGACCCTCAACACATTAAAAGAAAACAGGTTTGTCGTCGTGGATTTACTTACTTCCACTTAAATGCCTTGGCACTTTTCGTGAAAGGAAAGTTACCTGCCGGGAAAAAGGCCTTCAGATGTGTGGTCGCCGTGGGAAGCAAAGAGTTAATCGGTTCAGGGTAATTTCGGTCTTCAGTAGGAAGGTTGCTGGAATTCCTTGAAGGCAAACAAACCTCAGACCTTTCAGGAAAGCGAGAGCTGGGTTGCACTGACCTTTTAAAGCGCGGCTCTGGCCCACATTCTGGTTCAATTCGGACTGGTTTGTTTGGTTTATGCCCCCTTGGCTGGAACTGCACAAGCCGAGTACTCCGGCTTAACGGTTTCGCTGGTCGGCTCCCCTGTGCAGGCCGCCCTTGCTGCTGTTTCCCCTAGTCACCAAATCTGGATTTAATAATCACGAGAGAGATAAGTGAGAACTGCACTGCTGCTGTTAACGCACAACCCTGCTTGCATCCCTGAATCAAATCCCATCTGCCTCTGGGAGGAAGACCCGCGCCGATTCCAACAGAATCAGCTTCCGCCCGATCAGAGTAAGGAACCCGTGTTGCCGTCAGGGCAGAGGTCTCGGGGCTCTAGAGGTCTAGGATGCCACTCGACGGAATCAGTAGCAGGGCCCCCAAATGCAGCCTGGCTGGCCTATCAAGTCAGGGAAGTAAAACACTCTGCCATCTGAGAAAAAACAAGAACCCCAAAGCCGTTTAGGCTGCAATCCTGTACACTTCCCATTGAGTTCGGTGGAGTTTACTTCTGAAAAGTCATGTATGGAGTTTCACTGTCCATCCAGAGCCTGAAATTACCTCGCTGCGCCATTGAGCTGAGCCAAGGCGAGAAAGATCCACGGTGTTCAATGACACGACTTCCTGTTGGACTTGACTGCTCTATCTAGAGATCCCACACAAGTGGTTTAGGATTGCGTCCCGCGTCTTTCAGCGCGATCCTAAATCCACTGAGTGGGCATAGGACTAATGTGGGGAATGGCAGGGCATCTGGTTTGCGTGCAGAAGAACCTAGGTTCAATTCTCAACATCTCCAGGTAGGGCTGCGGGAAGCCCCCGTCTGACATCCTGGAGAGCAGCTGCCAGCTGGTGCAGATAATACTGAACCAGATAGGTCTGACCGTATCCTGTGTTCTTGTTAGTCTTGAAGGGAGAAAGTGCTACTGAAATACAAGCAGGTGGACCTTCTCCCCCCAGCCTCTCTCCGCCCGCCAGGTTGGTTTGCTCCAAGGCCCCCTCCTGCCGTCTTCATTCACCCTCTATAGTACACCCTCAATGATGTGCAGGCTCGCATCTCCGACACCTGCCTTCCCATCTGTGCCCATCTTCCTCCTTTCTCCTGCTGGCTCACTCCCAACCTCTTGCCTCCTGTTCGGCCTTCCCAAGCCTCTTCGACCCCTTTCGCTGGATACAGGCCCTGCATCCCTCGCCCCACCAGATCCTCCTAAAATTGACTCTCTGTTCTGTAGTCGTTCCCGAACAAGCCAACGACAACAAAAAGGCTTCCAACGAAGCTTTTAAGGGTTGCCATCTCCAGGACATGTCCTGTTTTTCATGGGTATGTAAAATGAGAGTCGTCATTGCGATCCGTAGTTAAGAGTAGAAGTCGGCAAATGTTTCCTCTTTTTTGCTCTCCAAAATACGTGCATTGGAATTGCTCTTAGTTTATTTTTTTTTAAAAAAATGTTTTCGGGTGTTTTGATTGTTTTATGGTTTCTGTCTTTGCGGCCCTGGGCACCTTTAGGAGGGAGGGCGGAATATAAATTTAATAAATAAATCTATAATAACATAAGAAAAAAAACTCCGGTTTGGCACACCTTCCCATAAGGCGTCCAACGCATTCATAGGAGAATTTCCCCGTGGAAAATCGAGCCAGCCCCCTCAAGACGTCCTGACATAGGACGATCAGTGGACGCTATCGAGGGCGCCAAGTTGAGAGCCCTCTGGACCGGGATTAGTTCCAGCCTGTGACGTCATGCGCATGCATTAAAGGAGCTTGGTGACATCACCCTTCAGCTGCAGCTTCCAAATGATAGACACGTGGGGCAGAAAGAGCGTCTAATTAAATAAGAATTAAAAAATAACCTACTAGGATTAAAGAAGAAAACCCACTTTGAACATAAGTTTACCATGAATTGCGCGGCAAGATTAATTAAGCACAAACGTGAAATCTCTATATTCTACTGGCGAGTGGGTTAGATGTTTCTCGTGGACTCAAATAAGAGCACCAACAACCAGACAGGTCTCTGTAAGGCCTTTATTTCTTATATCCTACGTCCACACATGTTATATGGTCGCAATTCCAGATTGAAACGTATATCCTGCGTGAGTGTGCGTCCTTTGATGCTTCTGCCTTAAAAGGGAAAAAAGGCAAACCTATCAGAACCGTTTAACTAATGAAATCTTGCTCATCTGCCATCCTCTCCATCCATTCCTCCATTTGAACCGGCGCGCTTCCGTCATACCAACTAGTATGAGTGGGAAAACATATTACAAGAGATAAGGTCCACTACAGTGGTACCTCGGCTTAAGTACTTAATTCGTTCCGTAGGTCCGTTCTTAACCTGAAACTGTTCTTAACCTGAAGCACCACTTTAGCTAATGGGGCCTCCTGCTGCCGCCGCGCCGCTGAAGCCCGATTTCTGTTCTTATCCTGAAGCAAAGTTCTTAACCTGAAGCACTATTTCTGGGTTAGCGGAGTGTGTAACCTGAAGCGTTTGTAACCTGAAGCGTATGTAACCCGAGGTACCACTGTACTTCACTGGACCCCCTTACTTTATACAGATGAAATGGCATGGGAGAATACAGGTTATGGGCTGTATCCAACAAAGAGTAGAGACATTAAAGTCAATGGAGGCAAATTAGTGGTGCTTATCTATAGTCTAGCAGGACTAGCACCGGTTAGCTACAACAAATTTCCTTCTAGAGGGTTTACAAATTCGTAAAAGAGACTGCCACTTGAGGAAATCCTGTAATCCTATTCATGCTGACCTGGAAGAAAAATCCCAAGGAAACCAATGGGAATAGCTTCCCAAATATGCTTAGGAATGCGTGTGAAACAAAGGCAGGACGTTTAAGCCCGCTTCCTCGCAAGCCGCATCGAAAGCTACGAACGGCCTCCAAAGCAAGGCAGACACATTTGGGATCGGCGGTCATGTTTTTAATAACGTGCGCCGCCTTTTACGACAACAACCCTGTAAGGTGGGCCGATATCTCCACTTTCCCTATTGGCTAGAGATAACAAGCGTCGTTTGGTGAGATTCGAACCCGCCACCTCCTCGTTCCCAGCTCCGCCGCACCAAACTGCTCTTGGCTGGCGAGAGAGGCGAGACGGGTTGAGATCGACCGCGGTGACAATCGCAGGCTGCCTCGGTAGTTTTTCCACTCGGCTAAGGCTGCTAACCAACCGACGGCGGTTGTTTGGTTGTTTGGCTTGGAAGATCTCTCCAAGCCACAAACCCCGGAGGCTCCGCTGGGAGATTTCGTTGAAAGCCACGGGTGGGTCTCTCTCCTCTCGCTCTCTCTGCAATGGAAAAGGCTGGTGTAAGTTTTGACAGCTCAAAGAGGAGGGAAGCAGGAGCTCCGCTGGCACCAACCGGCTGCCTCCGGATGCCCCTCCGCGCTCGGAAAAGATGACAGGCCGACACGGATCTATTTGAAAGGCGCCAGGAGGGGAGAGCGAGCGCCGAGCACCGGCCGGGGACCCTTTGGGTTGCGGAGTCGCACCAGCCACTTGGCAGAGCCCAGCGCTGGGTGCCACTCTTGTAAGGGATCGAGGGTTTAATTCAGACTCCTAGACCCCTCTACAGGAGCTGGCGGGGGCGGGGGGACTAAACGCACCCAGTTTAAAATATCACTTTTACGCACTCGGAGATTCAATACCATTGCCCCTGTTACAGCTGATCTGTGCCTATGGACGTCTGTGTGGGGCGGGCCCACATCAAGTCAGCCCTCTTCCCACGTCCCCAAGTATGCATCTGCGCCCATCAGTTGCTTGCAGTTTGGGGTTTTCAGACACCACCAGGCCTTGTAGCTCACGCATCCAATCCCCTTCAGTGAAAAGAAACTGATTTCCAGAAGGGGATAATTGGGGATGAGGGGTTGCTTCTTTTGGAAACAACCCCCCTTAGCCCACGAGAACGTTTTCCTGGTCAGGAAACTCAGGCAGCCACACTCGATCGTGAGCATCGCTCCTTGAGAGTAAGCAACGCTGCATAGAATCAGTAGTGTTCCAAATAAATGTCTCTCTCCCCCCCCCCAAGGAGGGTTGAGGTGTTAAGCAGATGCTATTTCGAAACTGAGCAAAGAGTTTCATATCAAAGGGTCAGGCTGCAAAATGGGTCAGGGAGGAAGAGAACAGGATAGTTAGAAGTCGATGGATCTTCCTCTTGGCGTTCAAACATCCTGCAGAACTTTACATTCAAAGAGATGGTCCTGCAGTGGACTGTGGGGGCTGTACTTGTTCTGGTGGGACCAGCGCCCAGCCACTTTACAAGACTGCAGTTCTCCAGGCCTCTTTGGACAGGCTATGATTTTGAAGCTGGTTTTAAATTGGCTGCAGGAGTGTCAACACTGAAAGGCAATTATGCCAGAAGACCCTGAGCTGTTGCATCTTTGGCACAGGAGGTCGTGGTTTCAAAGAATTCTCTCTTAGCTTCTGAAAGTTAGTTCCTCTTTGGTGGCTGCTTTGGCTACTGACTAGGCCCTATTAAATAAAGGAGTCCAGTCGGTCCCTCTAACTACTGATTGTAACACTTAATACAGGGACTGGCGATTCTGATTTTAATTGTATTTTATATTCTCTCTGACACGGGCTGTTGTATTTAAAAATGTTGTGACCTGCCCTGAGGTTCCCATGTGATAAGGGACGGCATATCAATCCTATTAATAGATATGGTAAAAAGAAGTGACCTTAGGCAGACAAAAGTTATGATTCCATGAGGACTGTCAGCCTTTCAATAAGCCACCCAGAGTGGCTGGGGAAACCCAGCCAGATGGGTGGGGTATAATTAATAAAATGATGATGGTGAAATAATGGTAGGAAGGGGAAGGGATGGAGCTCAGCAGCAGAGCAGGTGCTTTGCATGCAGAACTTCAGTCCCCAGCATCTCCAGGTATGGCTGAGAAAAGAATCCCATCTGAAACCCTGGAGAGCACCTCCAATCAGCATAGACAGTGCTAAGCTAGATGGACCACTGGACTGACTTGATGAAAGGCGGCTTCCTATGTTCCTAGGAAGACTTGCCTCTTCCACTGTTTACTTATTTCATTATTTATTTATTAATTGCATTTATATTCCATCTTTCCTCTAAAGAGCTCAATGTGGTGTATGTTGGAGCACCCTGCTCATTTAATCCCCACAACAACCCTGCGAGGTACAAGACGGTGACTGGCCCAAGGTCAACCAGTGAGCTTCATGGCCAAGTGAGGATTTGAACCCCAGAGTCTGGCACTCTAACCACTGCACTATGCTGCTGTGCACGTTGTGGCATATTGCAATTTCAAAGTCCTCAGTTCTTCCCTGTGAAGATTTAAAATGCCCTAGAGATTTACATTTTCCTCTATGTTTTCTTGATTCTGTTATCTCTCTATGCTAGGAAATCTATTCCACTGGCATGGCTCCCCACCCCACAGCAGAAGTTGTCTTTCATTGAGTCACACCACTGGATAATCAAGCTCCTTGGGGGTGTGGAACCTGGTGCCCTCCCTAAGTTGTTGGGCTGCAACTTCTATCATATTTAACCATTAGTCATGCTGGCTGGGGCTTATGGGCCACTGGTTCTCCACCTCTTACCTGCTCTGTCCCCTAACAGATCCACATGGCCTCAAAAACAGTATGCCACAGACTTGTTTCGTCCAGATACAGTGGTACCTTGGGTTACAGACGCTTCAGGTTACAGACTCCGCTAACCCAGAAATAGTACCTCGGGTTAAGAACTTTGCTTCAGGATGAGAAGAGAAATTATGCAGCGGCGGCAGCTGAAGGCCCCATTAGCTAAAGTGGTGCTTCAGGTCAAGAACAGTTTCAGGTTAAGAACGGACCTCCGGAACAAATTAAGTATGTAACCAGAGGTACCACTGTACTTGGGTTGGAAATGCTGGCAACTAAACCTAGGAATATATGCTCTACCACTGACCCCTCCACAGTGCCTATATTAGGATCTCCTAACCCTAAAAGGTCACAAACTTTCAAATTCAACAGAACTCTTTGTCAGGCTGTATGTCAAGCAAAAAAAGGGGGGGTTGAGGAACATATCATGGTTAGAGAGCCCTAAGTTGTATGTTTAAAACACAAATTATGAACAGGGCCTTTTGCAAAATACCCTGCAACTTCTTATTTTCTCTTTTCCTCTGTTTCATTTATTCTTTTTTGCTTAACATCCAGCCCAAATAAGAGTTATGCTGAACTCAAACTCTTTCTCATTGCTTTCTGATGACATGGTTGAAAGGTAACATAGGATTCACAGTTACTTTTTGCAAAAGTTGCAAAAAGAGAGAGAGAGAGAGAGAGAGAGAGAGAGAGATAAAGCTTCCTTGTCCTTTGCACCTGCCCAAATGCCATCTTCTGTGACTGTCACAGGCCCTGTCTCCCTTTGCCACAGCAGCTTCCCATATCAGGCTTTCTAACACAGACTGCAGCCTCCCTCCCTCCCAGTCCACTCAGCTGATCATTGAAGAAGAGATAAGGGCAATTCAGTCCCTTTGTGTTAACTTTCAGTGAAACAATGCAGAGGGCGTTCCTCAAGAAAATAAACTTCGAAGTCTCAGGTTGCTTGCCCTGAACATTTTCGGTGAAGTCTGTCGATGTTGATTTTGCAGCAAATGAGTTGCGACCCTCTGATTTCGACTGGAGACTTGTCATTTCCCCACCACAACATGCCATTTTTCTAAAAAAAGAAAGGGGGGGAGTGGTTGATTCAATCATATTTCTACCGGCAAGCAAATTAAGAGAAAACATGGATTTTAACTGATTGATGCATTGTGCAGTGATAAACACAGACACTGGAAAATTATCCCCTTAGATTTCAGATGAATGCTCTTTACAGTTTGATTGTCCCCCAGTACCAGGGGACAGACTGTGGCTGAGGCGTCAAGAATCTGCCTTGCAGGCAAGAGGTCCCACCTTCAGTCCCTGGCATCTCCAGGTACGACAGAGGAAAGAGCCAGCGTAGTGTAGTGGTTGGAGTGCTGGACTAGGACCTGGGAGACCAGGGTTCAAATCCCCACTCAGCCATGAGGCTCCCTGGGTGACCTTGGGCCAGTCACTGGCTTTCAGCCTAACCTCACAGGGTTGTTGTGAGGACAAAATGGGGAGAAGTATGGGACTTGGGTGGTGCTGTGGGTTAAACCACAGAGCCTAGGACTTGCTGATCAGAAGGTTAGTGCTTCGAATCCCTGTGGCAGGGTGAGCTCCGGTTGCTCGGTCCCTGCTCCTGCCAACCTAGCAGTTCGAAAGCACGTCAAAGTGCAAGTAGATAAATAGGTACCGCTCTGGCGGGAAGGAAAACGGCGTTTCCGTGTGCTGCTCTGGTTCGCCAGAAGCGGCTTAGTCCTGCTGGCCACATGACCTGGAAGCTGTACGCCAGCTCCCTCGGCCAATAAAGCGAGATGAGTGCTGCAACCCCCGAGTCGGCCAGGACTGGACCTAATGGTCAGGGGTCCCTTTACCTTTATGTATGCCATATTGAGTTCCTTGGAGGAAAGGCGGGATATTAAAGAAGTAAGTAAAACTCCCACCTGAAACCCAATGTAGAGCCTGAAATCCAGGAGACTGCAGCCGTCCAGTGCAGGCAATACTGATTTAGACAGACCAGTGGTGTGGTGGCAGCTTCCTGTGTTTCTGTAACTTCCGTTTCCCAGCTGGTCCAACCAGCTCATGGGTAGTTGTTTCAATGGCACTTTGCCATAACCATGGAAGATCAGAAAGCGAGGGGTTCCGCATCCTTTGGAACCAAGCAGTGCCTCGATCATCCCTTTCTAAAACTAATATAAAATTTAAATTAAAAAGGGAATAAATGAGGGCTGGGGAGATTAGAACGTATTGTTCTTTTTTTTTATGCTGGGTTTCATTTCCGAAACGAAATGAGCCTGCCTTGGAGGTTACATTCGCTGACCCTTAACTTGGGGGGCGGGATACGTGCGAAGCCAAAGACGCACCGAACATGGTTAGGGACCCCGTTGTTGCTTCACACAGGAGACAAGATAGCGCGCTAATTATGACACAGGATTATGTGCCGAATTCAATGCATGCCCTCAAAGAAACGAGTTCGTTTTCCAGGTGCCACAGCACTCTTGGTCTGTTAGCTGCTGCCGATTGATAAGCCTCATATGGGAGAAACCCAGCTGTGTTTTCTATTAGCTTCCGACGTGAATCGGGAGAGAAAGCAGGTTTCGAGCCCTAGTTTGTTTGGGGAAATCGATGTTCTTGATTCAGGGTGCATCCTTTCTGAGGAAAATTGGATTTCGTGAAAGAATGGGCAGGTTGCATTTGTGCAGCCCAAATCTCCAGGCTTGGTTTCACACCTTTCTCGCCCATGCGTTGCTGCTGGAGGGGCGATAAGAGGGGATTAACTCAAGGAGACGAAATTGCCGTGGACTTTGGGAGTTTCGGTTAAGCAAACTGACTTCTGGAGCGCTTGTCTTTTATTTTCTTTTGGAAAACTCCACTCCCAATCCACACACACACCCCCACAAAACAAACTGGGCTCCTTGTATCTGAAATCAGCACAGGCAAATATTTTGTCTCTTTAAAACACAGTCCAGAGGTCGTAGTTTTGGGACTGGACCCCGGGGGGAGGAAGAGACGCAGATAATAAAAGAATAAATACCCCAGTGGGGTGTTTCTGAGAGCTCCATCCCAGAGCTCCGTGGCGCTTTGTCAACAGAAACCGTCATAACGATGGCAGAGAATGCGGGTCACTGGCGGTGCGTTTGTTTAACTGATCACCCACACCATTGCACCACTTAGGGAACGGCCTGGCTCAGGGGCAGAGCATCTGCTTCGCATTGCAACAGGTCCCCGGTTCAATCCCAGGTGTGGCTGGGAATGTCCTGTTCCTGAAACCCTCGAGATGCTGCTGGACTCATGGTCTGACTCAGTAAACGGCACCATCCTATGTTCATGAAAAATAGTTTCCAAGGGGAGCCATGGGGGAGCTCAAATTCTGAGTTCCTTCACAGCCCATGATGCAGCTGGAGTTAAACTGCTGGGTCCTGTTGGCCTCAGGAACGGATGTCAAGAGAAAACACTCCGTATAGCTCAGGTTCTTACAGCATGGTGCTGATAACGCCAAGGTTGCGAGTTCGATCCCCATATGGGACAGCTGCATATTCCTGCATTGCAGGGGGTTGGACTAGATGTTCCTCAGAGTTCCTTCCAACTCTACAGTTCTGTGCTTCTATGGATGATTTATCCCCACCCGCCACTTCAGCTTGGTGGATCCGGCTTGCCAGCAGCCTCTGGTGACACAACCCCCGGGCAAGTCTCTTCTTGACACTCGAACCGCCTTTGGCACCTGATTCCGGAGTGATCCTGGTGTAGGCCACAGAGTTTGTTCAGAGGGACTTGTAGAGCGCAGGAGTTTCCCTGGGCGATCGACGCAAGGTTGTCCCGGCCACCCTGGAAGTTTTTTGCCCCTGTGATTTGAAGCGCCTTTCTAAACTGTGGGTTTAGGATCCGAGCCTAAAGCAGCTGAAAAACGCAGGGATGTTGGATTAAGGCTGGAATCCTAGGCGCACTTACTTACAAGTAGCTTCTAAGGAAATCGGCGCTTTCGGAGCAAGTGGGTGGGTCGGTGGTTTCAAGAGAAGTGAGCGTGAAACGCTGAAGGGCCATTTTAACCGGGGAGTGGTTCGGCGGCCCTGAGTCAGCGTTAGAGCTGTGCGCTCTGGGGTTGTCTGGGAAAAGTCTGTTCAAGACAATTCTCCAGTCTTCCTTTCGCACATTGGTTGGGGAGGGTGCGATTAAAGAAATAGAGAGTCCAGTACAGGAATTTAGGGGTTTCCGAAACCGAAACTGACCTCCTGGGGCCCTTTTCCCTTTTTGGAAAACTCCCTCCAGTGACATTTCCCCCGGAATATGGAGCATGAAGGTTAACCACAGATTTCTTCTTCTCTCTGAAAGTATTTTGGGCCGAATCGAACCTGTTTTGAACCTGGGAACACACTAAAGACACACTTTAGCTCAAGGGGAGGGGGGACCCGGGAACCTTCGGGTAGTGTTGAACTATAGTTTCCAACAACCCTAGCCGGCATGAGAATGGCATGGGGTGATGGGGGCTGTTCCCCACTCCTGCTTTAGATAGTTGTCCATGATTCTCTGTAACGCACACAGCCCTTTAAAACACACACACACACACACACACACACACACACACGCAGAGGTTTGTATCTGATTTCAGTCTGTTGGGGAGACCATCCTTTCACCGTAGGCACTCGGCTTAGACCAGGGATGAAGGGAACCTGTGACCCTCCAGATGTTGCGAAACTCCAACTCCCATCAGCATCCCAGGCAGCCAATGGTCAGGCATGATGGGAATTGTAAGTCAGACAACATCTGGAGGACCACAGTTTCATCAGCCGTGCCAAGCAAGCAAGATCTTGCAAGGAGTGGCCTTCTCGACCCAAACCACCTCTGTTTGGAACAAGGCCTCCTGATTGCTTTCGAATAGTTTCCAAGGAATTGTGCTTAGGCTTGCAAATGGTAAAGTTGGCATCACTGAAGCACTCCCGGTGTTCCTTTTTCCAGGGTTACAGGGGGGATTTGGGATGCTCCACAATGGGGGCGAGGAGGAGGCTTCCTTAAACAGGACACAGGGAAAGGTCCGGCTTCGGAGCTGATCTCTTTGTGATGCGATTTCTTTCTTTAACATCCACACTCGGCATTCCTATCCAAAAAAATGCATATTCTGTCCGCAACAGACAAGCTGTAAAGAAGAAGAAGGCTAAATAACGTTATAGCCTGCATTTATTGTTTAGCGTGGGTGAAAGACAAGACAGAGTGATAGGGGATGGGGGAAGATTCCGATTCCGATCCTGAGCACTCTGCAGTGTATAGATGCGGAATCTATCCCCAGGCCCACATGCCTCAATCCCAGGTTTGTACAAGAGCCCTTCCTAGGTGAAGGTGGAATTTAATATACACCAACACTAAGAGTTATATACAGTGGTACCTCGGGTTACAGACGCTTCAGGTTACAGACTCCGCTAACCCAGAAATAGCACCTCGGGTTAAGAACTTTGCTTCAGGGTGAGAACAGAAATCACGCAGTGGCAGCAGAAGGCCCCATTAGCTAAAGTGGTACTGTTAAGAACAGTTTCAGGTTAAGAACGGGCCTCCGGAACGAATTAAGTACTTAACCCGAGATACCACTGTATATAGCCAACTAAAGGACTTATAAATGTAAGGTAGATTCTATGAGAGTTATCGACTGGTTTATTGCTATCCGCTGATACCTTTAGAAATGGTGCATGTGCGAATGATATTATAACTAGGTAGACATCAAACCACAACCGATCTACCTAGCCGGCCTCCTGGAGAGAAACATTTCAACATTGGTTGCCAGAGGATCTGAAAGTGGCGTTGTCTCTTTTTTAGTATTGAGTGGGAGGAGGGAGTCAGGCTTTATATTCTGCCCTTGAACCCAGTTTGGAGAAGAGATTTCAAGGAGTAGGAATAGGAAGAGCCTCTCCCCGATTTGAAATATTCGGTGGGCTTGCAGTGGGATCCAGAAGTTGGCCTCTCGGGCTGAGATGTGTGTGTGAATTCAGGGTGGTCGACAGATCTGTAAACAACTCATTAGGGAGTCACCAAAATGTATACACGCGCGCGCACATGGCAGCTACGACCTTCCCATCATCATCCAACCTGCCCCAAAAGTGGCACTGGGCTCCAAAATGGGACGAGATTAGGAGGCCAGTTTTAAGGCAACCGAGAGGAGAGTTTTAAACCACAGGAGCAAAAGGGATTATTATTCCAAACTGTAATCCACAACCAGTTTCCCAAGTAGTCCTCCCGAAGTTGCATGGAATGAGAGCCTCGCATGTTGTGGCAATCCCTAATGGGCCTCCCGGTTGACTTGAAGAACGAGAATTTCAGTTCACGTGGGCTGCGATCCAAATGCTACGGGAAGGTCGGGAGACATTCCCACGGAATGCAAAGGCTGCATCCTCAAGCGGTACTGTTTTCGCCTCGCGAGGGAAAACTCCCCAAAGGCTCTACTTTTTAAAGAGATCAAAGGGTCTCAGAAATGAGTCCATCGCTCAGTTCAGCAACACTGGGGGCACCGCAACTTACCCAGGCAGGTGTTGGTAGGATCCCGCCAGAAAAGCCTCTCTTTTTAACCAAATAAATCCACTTCCCGCATTAAGGAAATCTCCGGCTGGCCTTCAAGAATAACAATTGGGCAGATTCTTATTCAGCCTCACGGCAATGCGGGCTGGGGGGGGGGCTGGGGCATGGATTCTTACACCTTCAGCCCAAAGGCTCCAGAAATGGCCAGGGGGGAAAGGCGTTGCCTTTCTTGCCCCATGAAAACAAATTATTTCCCGACTGCGCTCCCCGGTCGCCAGTTTACAGGCAGCTAGGCAAGTTCTTTCACTGATATATTTAAAGATAATATGTAACAAACTGAGAACTTTCCTATGTTCAACGTTTCCACGCCATCATTACAGTGGTACCTCGGGTTACATACGCTTCAGGTTACAGACTCCGCTAACCCAGAAATAGTACCTCGGGTTAACAATTTTGCTTCAGGATGGGAACAGAAATCGTGCTCCTGTGGCGCGGCAGCAGCAGGAGGCCCCATTAGCTGAAGTGGTGCTTCAGGTTAAGAACGGACCTCCGGAACGAATTCAGTACGTAACCAGAGGTACCACTGTATATCAGTCCCAGAGAGAGTGTTTGGCTGGGGTGCTTTATCCTGCAAATTGGTGGGGGTCTTAATGAATACTTTAATTTGCTTTTTCTTTAAAATCTGTTGAGCATCACTGTACTTGGATTTTTCGATGGGGATTTGTATCCAGGGGTGAAATATGTTCTCTGTCGCTCTTAAATTTATGGAGGGGCGCGGAGGGACCTCCGAACCCGTAGAAGAAGTTAGAACATCATGCCACCACCCTATCCGAAACCAGAGCAACTCGGCTGAATTCGTTCTCGTGCTCCCCCACCCCCCTTTGACCTTACACCACGAGCCCTAAGCAATAGCACACCCGTTTTGCACAACGCGATTTAATCCGAAAGAACTACACCCCCCCGGCTGGTTTTTGCGGTTTATGTCCTGTGCCTAAAAGTCGTTTAGGCTTGAGCAATCCTATCGGCACAGAAAGTTCTATTGGGAAGGTGAGACATGATAATCCCGAGCAAATCCGCACGTGAGCATCGAAATGGTGTTGGGAGCTCATCCCATGCCCCCACTTTTTTATCAGCAATCCTGTGCCGGTTTGCTCAGCAGCAAACCCTTTTGTCTTCAGAAGGGCTCACTCCCAGGTTTGGGAAGGAAGCCTTAAGGATCAATTTGGACTATCCCATCCCCGCCGCCGCCTCCCCCCAAAAGCCGCACAAGCCGATCCTATGGCCGGTTTACTGGCGGCTCAGCCTCTCGGTCTCCAACCAGCCTTGTTTACAGGTAAATTGGGACAGGAGTTCTTAGGAAGGAACTAATCCCCTTTGAAGTGGAGCATGCGCACTGGCAACCAAACAGTGGGCGCCGTATGATGCCACTGAAGTGGGGTGGGAGGCTTCGTGGATTCCAGTAGGATGTGGTTAAAAGCTATGGCCGTTCCCTGGAGGAGACTTGAGGGGGTGGGGTGGGGGCGATCTACCTTTTCCCAGCCCCTCTCCTCCTCCTCCTCCCCCCCCTCCGGTGATGTCAATGCCAGAAGGTCCCCTTTGGCTGGAATGGGACCTTGGCTTGCGCCATAAATCCTGGCAGGAGGCAGGCGCTGATGGAGAGGCAAGAGGAGCCACCTGATTGGCTCCAGGCTGCTCCGGGGCCTTGGTTCTTTTAAAGCCAAGCGAGGGGAGGCGAGGCAAGAGAGCGAGAGCAGCGCCAAACCACCCGGGAGAGAGGCGAGAGCGCTCCTTCCCCGGCGCGGTCTCTTTAAGAAATGCGCCCCGCCGCCAGCCCCCGAGAGCGCTCGCCTGGGCCGCCGGCTCGCAGGCAGCTCCCTTGAGGCCGGCCCAGCGTGGAAGGGAAGGCATCTCAGCGCGAGGAGGGACGGGGAGGTCTCGAACCTCGGCGAGGGAGGAGCTACGAGACAGCTTACAGACCTACGGGCGCGGGCAGCGCACTCGGAGCTCCCTCGCTCGCCAGCGGCCACCTCGCGCCACTGCGCTCTGTCGTTGCTGCTGCTGCTGCGCTCGGCCCCCCTGCTCTCCATCGAAGGGGCTGGCTGGCGCGGGGGGCTGCTGCCACTGCCCCGCATATGCAGCCAGAGCCCGTCGAGGCTTGGCGCCGCCTGTCCCGCAGCGAGCCAAGCCCAGCCCGGAGCCGAGTGGATTTAACCCGTCAAAATCAGAGCAAAACCCCAAAGCAGACTTCTCCTTTTGCAACCGCTGTGGAATAACCCTCGCCCTGTCTTGGGAAAGCAGCGCGCGCGCCTCCCCGAAGGCACAGGCGGGCACAACTGAGTCTTCTTCTTGCTATGGATTCCTTTAAAGGTGGGATGAATTTGGAAAGGGTTCCCGACGGCTTGAGAGCTCCCCAGGCGCCCCACGACATGGCTTCCAGCTTCCATTTGCAGAGATCGTCCGAGGCCAGGGAAGCGATCGAGAATTCCGCCAGCGAATCGTCCGACACCGAAGTCCCAGGTAAGGGCTGACGTCCTGCGAGTGGCGTTGTTCTTGGGGTTGTTTGCGTCACGTAAGAAAAGAGGGCAAATGCCTGCTTTCCTTACCAAGGGAAGATACACCGGAGGACTTTTGTCTTTTAACCAAATAGGTGAATGCAGAACTATGTTAATCACCGAGAGGGAAAGAGGCGCGGAGGGATTTAAACTTTCTAACATATAGTCGTATATTGCTCTCCACATCCAAGCGAAATATTGGCGTTGCACACGCACATAAATTTAGGTGCCATAAATTTATTTGAAAGCTGTCATTCCGATCGCGGTTTTTGTAGAATGCTTCTGAAAGCATGTCAGCTCTGATGGGTTTATTTTCCATCCTGGAAACCGTACAACATGTAAAAATATATCTCTCTGTCAAAATAGGGGAGCACCCATCAAAAGTCAGGAGGGGGTGAAGGGTGGGAGTACATGAGAGAAAGACTGAGAAATCCAGACATTCAGAATCTATATTATTCTATAGGCTGCGCATCACGTAAAACTTGGGTTATGTTACAATATATCTTCGTAAAGGGAAAAATCATTTTTAGAAGATGCCAAAATAAGGGGACGGGTGTGTGGTTCTCTCTCTCTCTCTCTCTCTCTCTCTCTCTCTGTGTGTGTGTGTGTGTGTGTGTGAATGCTTATACTGAAACTTACTCGCAGGTAAACGTGCGTAGTATAATCGCAGCCTTAAAGTTTATGCTTAAAGTTATTTTAAGGAGACTTTCGGATTTCTTTTTCTCCCCCCTCCAAACTGTCTGCCTGTTTCCATTTTGGCGGATGTCCCGCATATAATAAGGCCCCTCCGCTGAAAAGGTTATCTTTTATTTCAACACAAAACAGAGTCACAGACACCCAGGCCGTGTCCCTCAAGTCGGTACATACGGCCCTATTCCTTGCCTTGCCATTTAATTTCCAGAGCTCTGTGGTTAAGATCTCGGGAAACTTAAACCACGATTAGAGGCCTCGATGACAGATTGTAACCTGGAAGTGAATGGGGAGGGTTGGAAGCTTAAAAGAGCACAGGAAGAGGTTATGGCCGGGATACTGCGTGCACCCTTGGAAGGGAGATCTACGGAAACCTTTGGGACTTGCAGCCCAATTTCATACATATCTACTTGCGATCAAGTCTCATTGTGCCACACTTCTTTCTGCGTGTGCACAGGATCGCAGCCTCGTTTTCCAGGGCAATGCATATATTGGCTTCATTTAAATTTAAGTATCTTTTTATAACTCTGGAACAATCTCCCCCCGCCCCGTGCGTTTTCCTTTGCATAGACAGTTGTAACTTTCGACATACGGATCTGTAAGACACACGCGCAGCCATCTACACAATATAGATATACCGAGAACGCATATACACTGCATAAGCTCCGTAGACAAAGGAAAATGGATCAAGAGAAGCAGGATAACTTAAAACAAACCTAATTTGTGTAACAAAAGCAGTAAAAAAACAGGGCTGGGAATGGTCATTATTGCCTCTAGATTTCCCCACGGAAATCGATGATTCTGGGCGCTTTGACGAGGTCTTAAAATAATAGGGAGCTTCGGTTTTAGCAGCTCCAGCGCGATGGAGGCGCCTTAAATCCAAGTCAAGGAATAAAGAAAGAAACCTCCTTTCCCCTTTTTCTTTTCCAAAGGCAGTTTGAAAGCGGCCGGGCCTAGGCTGAAAGGCCGATGTGTCTTGATGCGGGGAGAGGGAGCTGTGGGAAAGAGGAGGGGGGGACCTTTCCCAGTGGTCGTTGTCCCCCTAAACTGTGGCTCATAAATCCCAAAGCGGTTCAGCGAGCAGGGCCCGAGCTAGTCCACGCCAAGACACAAAGTACCTCTCACTTCTTCTAAGTGGAAAAATGTGCTAAGACCAATTAAGCCTAATGTGTGTTATGATTTGAAACTGTATCAGAGGCCCGTTGGAGAAGGCAGACCCCCCTTTTTTTTCCTGTAATGAAACGGGCAAGAGGGATAAATCAAAGGCCAAGATCTCAATCGCCTTGATGGATGGCGCTTCCAAAGATTTATATGTATATAATTTATATGTATATATATATATAGTGTGTGTGTGTGTGTGTGTGTGTGTGTGTGTGTGTGTGTGTGTCAGAGGCAGCTCTCCTGCCCTCTACCAATTCGAAGAGGCGTCCCAAATCTTCTCTCTGTGCTGCTAGCCAGCCGGACCCTCTTTCCAGGGATGGTGAGCTGGAGGAGCCCAGCCGGGGCTGGAGTGGGTGGGATCTGGGTAGCGATGGGTTTCTGGCTTGGACACCACCAAGGAAACTTTTAACGAGGCGAGCGCGTTCCAGGCCTTGTTTGCTTTGCAAACCGCTTACTGGAAAGAGGGCCATCACAGGCTGCAATAAGGTCATTTACCACTTTGGGGTTTGAACCGTGTAACCGTTTGAACTCGCCTCTTTGCTTTCAGAGCTCCCAGATGGACGCAGGAGTCATTTTAAGCACAGCCAGAGCGGGGGATAGGCATTAATCGGTGACTTAAAGGGAATTGAGGGTTGTTGTTTCTTTGCAGGAGTAGAGCTCGTTTATTTAGGATTTTCAGATCCTCACTGCCCGATACATGAAACGACGTTTCAAGGAAATAAATTGCAAGGAAATTAATTCAGTACTAAGCCTTGGATTTAGGATAAACATTCCAGATGCGAATTAAAGCGCATTCACTCTTGTTCGCGTGAGTCCTTGAGGTGTATGCGTGCGCGTGTTTGTATGCGTGTTGTGCGTGCCTTACACACACTGACAGGAGCACACGGAATTCTTCTCGCTCTATAGAATGGCACATAGTTCCCGATCCAAACAAAGTGGGTGTGGGAGATTCTGAAGCCCCCTACATCCCACTGATTAAAGTGTATGCTTTAATCTCACCTTTGAAATCAATGGGAGGAAAGAGGTTGCTGTTTGATGGATCCTGTGCTATGGTTTGGTTTGGTTTGTTAATTACATAAACACTGATGTGTTGTACACATATTTACGCACGGATTCAATTACAATTTGTGCGTTTCAGTACATAGAGAAATTAGAAGGTGACGATCCTAAGTCAATGCCATAGCACTGGGACTTCAAATAATGTTGTTATACATCAGCTTGTTTAAAAAAAAAAGCAAAGTTTTATGTACGTGAGAACAAAATCGCTCTCATTCTGCACACACACACAACAGCCTATGGCTGAGATCCATAGTCCCTTTGTTTTAAAACTTACTGCAATTATTTTGAGGATGTTACTTTTTTAAAAAGCGTTGTCGAGTAAAATGGGTGGTTTTCATAATATTTGCTTCGTTTGCATAGTCGATTATGTGTGGAGTACACATAATCCCACCTGAAAAGATTTGCATATGGACTCCTGTTTGCATACTACGATAGACACGCGCAACGCATCATCATCGGTTAACACACGTGTCTATTGCTATTGATAAAATACTTCGTAAAATATGAGTTTAAAAACCGGTTTGCAGGCCCGTAAAATTGGAGTGGCTCTGCAATAAGGAACGAATATATCGATGCAGAAAAACAGACCACTGGTAACCCAACCCTAAACGTTTCTACTCGGAAGAAAGTGCCGCTGGGTTCAGTGGTTAATATTTGCTGCCAGGGATTGCAAGCCGAATAGCTTCAGTTAAGACGAAATGATTAGTGATCTCAAAGCATCACCTTAGGAGGCAACCCCTTGGGAGAAAGTCCCAATAGGACTCTGGGATTTTCTCTTGAGTAAACAAGTAGAGGATCGTGCTGCATGATAGAAAAAGTTTGCCGGTCTGAAATATGTTTTTACTACATTAATATGTTAGCACCGTAGTTCCGGTGAACCACGAAATTCACTGAAATCAAACTGACCTGCCTAGGTATTTCCTCTTATATTGCTTATAAAGAAGTAAGAAGCCATAAGATTTCTCCGCCGCCGCCGCCCCTCGCCCCATTGTAGAATGCATTGCTATAAAATGAACGTTGTATAATTTAAGTATATATACTAATATTATTAAGCAGGAATAAAAATATGGAGACATCGAACCAGCAAAGGGCAATATATTTAATCACTGCCCAGGCAGCACGATCCTGTGCGTATTTATTCGGAAGCTAGTCAACTGAAGGCGAGGATACTTGCACTCCAGGGCGCATACCTGTGACATCTTGAAAGTCCTATGGATGTCAGGCAGAGTTCAGAATATGATTAAATTTTGCCCGTTGAAGTCAATGGAGCTCTTGCCCTCGAAGTCTTCCTTCATTGACTTCAGAGGGTCGTAGAGTGAAGCCCCGGTCTTGATGTAATGTGCCAATAGAAGCTTGTACCAGTTGTACATGCTGTATTGTAACTAACTAGCAGGTATTATGTTTTGCCTTAAATTGTGTGTGCACTTCGAAACTGAAAATAATTCATATAATTTCCATTTTTGAAAGGTGTAGGTGGGATCAAATGTATTTTGTTTTTGCTGTTGTTGTTTTCCTTTATTTAAGGAACCATAAAAAAATAAGGCTCTAAATTTTACCTAACTGAAAAATCATTTGACTGTCAGAATCCAAATTCCCAAAGTAGAAATTTAATCCAGTTGTGTGAAAGGTTTCGTTTTCGGGTTAAGTAAATTCAAACTTTCCCCCTGTGGGGAGTATATTTTGTGTCCTGGTGCCTGCTAGGAAAATATCCAAAAACAACAACAACAAAATCGATGTGAATTCTTCATTGCTTTTAGAGACTTTTAAAAAGTGCCTAAAGAAATGGCTTGTAAAGGTTTCCCACGCCTTTTTAAGAAATGTTTTTCCCACCTTGAATCTCTTAAAGTCCATTATGAAAACAGAAACAAAAAAAAATCTGTTGTCATTTGCGTAAAAGGAAGACTAGGTCAGGATCCGGGCTTGATTGGCCTTTGCTTTTGTAATGGAAAATCCTTGATTCTGGGTTGTGTTTGATGAGGCTTTCTAAAACAGACGCGATGGTTTCAGTCCAGGAGCTCTCGCTGCTGTGCTGTGCAAAGATTCATTGGAGGAAGATTTGGGCTACAAATCCAGACCTTATTCAGATTCCTTTCCGAAGGAGAGTTTGGTGGCAATGACTTGGGCTGGGGAGTTAGGAGAAGCAGTTTGGGCATTTCTATTCCCCCCCCCCCGCCCTTTCTAATTGTAATTCTTTCTTTCGCCTCCTTATGCCCGGCCCTTTGCCTTTGCAGAAAAGGAGCGAAGCGGCGTGCAGAAAAGCGACGACGGGAACGTGGATGACCCGGCGAAGAAGAAGAAGCAGAGGCGGCAAAGGACGCACTTCACCAGCCAGCAGCTGCAGGAGCTGGAGGCCACTTTCCAGAGGAACCGATACCCGGACATGAGCATGAGGGAGGAGATCGCGGTGTGGACCAACCTCACGGAGCCCCGAGTCAGGGTGAGCCACGCTCCGCTCTCTCCTCGGGCGCCCGCCTCCCAGGGTTAACCAACCCAGCCACTTCCCAGGCCTGCCTGAAGACAACTCCGAGGCAGCCCGTAAGAGCCCATCGCCAACTCCCCTGGGCCCTCCCGCCTCTTGGCCGGGCGCGGATGGAGCCCAGGTTGAGAAACAGCTTTTCTCGGAAGTAAGCCCCCCCATGTGCGCGTCCCAGGGGACGGACTTCCAAGTAAGTTTGTTCCAGAGGCAGCGCGGCCTTCTCCTCCCGGGTAGGTGCGCCTGTGCCCAGAGGAGCGCAGCCTCGAGCCTTATTTAGACACCGGTCTACCAAATAGAGGAGTCCCAGGTGAAATCCGAGGAGAGGGAGCCACTGGGGCAGGAGGCGGTTAAGAGGAAGCGCCAGTTATTGGAAGATGAGAAAGAGATCCGGGGGATCTGGCGCTGGTGGGACTGTCCAAGGGTGCTTTGTTTTTACAGATCCTAAGCCATCTCTGGTCGATATCACCTTATGCTAGGAAGATCTACAGAAAGAGAAGCGAAGTTCTATAGCTTGTAATTAGAATTAGCTCCTTCGTAGTGAAAAAAGAGGCAGTATTTCAGGGATGGGGGAATCTGCTTTACAGTACTGAAGGCAGCAAAATGCATAATTCCATGCAGGAAAACAAGGCTGAGCTGGGCCTGACCTGCTCTGTGCTTGCCATCTCCTTAACCAAGGTAATTTTTGCAGCCCTATATTCCCACTTGCTCGGAAGGAAGTCCCACCGAGGACAGCGAGACTTGCTTCAGAATAAACGTGCACAGAGTTGGGTAGCATGGAGGAGAAAGTCCCCGTCGAATGTTGTGTAGGAGCCGCGCAACTCACTCCTTAGACGCGCGCCTCGCTGCTTACTCCCAAGCAACGGGCTCGCAGGCAAGCGGCCTCAGCTTTACTCGGGAGTAAGAAACCAAACGGGATTTACTTCTGAGTGGACTCGGCTAAGCTCCAGCTCCAAGCCTGCTTTAGGGAATCCGAGGAAGCACCCTATACGCCAAGGGTTGTGGGGGTCGGGGAGACTGCGATTTGGGGAGCAAAACCCAGTGAAAACGTGCATGGCGCACAGTAAACGAGGTGAGGGATCGGGCCTCACTTGGGCGCCTGAGGACCAAAGAATCCACGCGCAACAAACTTTGCGCGTCGGGCTCCCGGCGGAGGGGAAATCCCGGGGCGAGTTCAGGCCGCGACCACACAGGGCTGGAGCCAGTTCCCCGGAGGAGCATCAGAGGTGATTTCCCACAGAAAATCAGGATCCGCAGAGTGCAGGATCCAAGCAGCCCCGAGCCCTTCCGAGGCGTCTGGGGCCTCCCGGGCCCAGGGGTAGAGAAGGCGGCAGTGGAAAGGCGCCCTTCCTGGCGCGTTGTTGGCCCTTTAAAGCCGCTAGAGAGACAGGCCTCCAGAAACGCGGGCGAGGCTTTATTTAAAACAAAATCACTGCTCCATTGCACTGCTGAAGGCGCAATCCTACGATCGTTAAGGAGCAAGCCCAACCGAGTAAACATGCCCAGGATTGGGCCGTAAACAAATAATAGTCTTGAGATCATTGAGACCGCCCCAGATCATTGTCCTTTTCCGTAGCATGGGAAAAGCGGGTCTTGGCCAGGAGAGCCATCTTTCAGAATTTACTGTTCTCCCCTGCATTAATTAAATGCAGCCATTTAATACCAAGCAGGAAATCTATTTTCTCTTCGGGCGATTGCTGGGGGAGAGAGAGAGGGAGCCCAGGCATCCGGGTAGAAAGCCTTTATGAATGCGCTCTTTTTCGTGGGGCCATGAAGGGATCTTTCAAAACAAAACAAAAACAATTGTGCCGTCTGATCTAGAAGTGAGGAACTTGTGGGTTTCTTTTCCCCCCCAGGGGAGTCTTGGCCCCGGCCGCTTTCATTGGGTGGTGCTTCGCTTGCGCGGCGTTTCCTTGGCGCATTTCCTTAGATGGTAGACTGCAGCTAACTTGGTCAGGGAGACCGGGAGACACGTCCAGGACAGAGCCGTGCACTTCAGCTCTAAGTTTAAGCATATTTAAACAAACCAGAGGCGGGAAAGAATAGGAGACACCCTCTGAAATGCCTCGTTTCTTTAGCCCTCTGTAGAGCGCCGGCCCACATTCTGGCGTCTACGCATTCTGCGTAGGGGAGCGACCACACCGCGCCTTTAGCTAATGTAGGAGAAGGCAAGGGCCGCTCGTTTGCACGTGCTGGGCATTGTGAATGGCGCTGGCTGGACAGAACGTGGCATTTGCGCGCTGTACTGAAATTATTGCAGAAAGCGGAGATTTAAAATAAATTAAGAGGCTTGTCCTGGAGTGCCCTGGAGGAGAACACTGGACACGATCCAGCCCAAAATAAGCACTTCAGAAAGGTGCATTGCTGTGGGTTCAGGTTCACCAGAGCTCACTGAGACTTAATTCCAAGCAACAATGCACTGCTTTGGCCTGGAAGGTCACATTGAATTCAGCGGCCTAGCCAAGTACCTGCTTAACTCTCCCCAGGAAACATAATCCGCAAGGGTGAATTACATAGCGCTCAGTCGGACTTCTCAGTTAAACATAGTTAGGGTTTGTTGCTGGATCGTGCCCACTGCGTGAAAGTAAATCCCGGCGAAATGAAATGCCATTTGATATGTTGCGCTGAGGGTGCTCTGTGTGTGTTAGAGAGAGCTGTGCAAAATCCCTAAAACCAGCAGGGAACCATATATAAAAGGCCCCATTTCCTGTGCGGTTTGTTTTGTTTCGCTTTGTTTTGGCCACCCCTTCCTTATATTCGTGTACATATTGTTTGAACGCCAACAGCCTGATTCACAAAACTGGTTTTTTTAAGCGGATGGCTCCGTCTCCCTGACTGTGCCCAACCCGCTTTCGGTGAGAGTTCATTTCAAGCGCGTGGCCCTAAAACGCTAAGTTCCCCTGGAATTAAAGAAACTACAAATTCAGTGTTCGGGATCGGAGTAACAATCCCATTGGTGTTGACTTTATATGAACTGGGCCTTGTGGGTGTGGGAATGTTGAGGGTGGCAGGAGAGGATATATTGATTATTAATATCTTTCCTAACTTGTAGCTCTAACACACCCCAAAGCATACTTTCGCTTCAAGAGATTTCGTTGAAATCAAAGGATCCGCGACTTCCAAGCCTGTGCGTAGGTCGGAATCTCTAGCGCAGCACGGACAGGATCCGCCGAGTAAACTCGGCTACCAGGGCCAGTTGCATTGGGCTCCCAAGTCAACAAATCATTATAGTCCTAAATCAGTACAGAGATGTTCTCTTACGCCTCTCTTGCCTACAACTGAAGAGGCTGTTTCTGTTTGTTTGTTTGTTTGTTTGTTTGTTTGTTTTAAAAGTTTTTCCTGCCCCAACTGGTAGGAAAAAATATCTTGCCGTAGGGAGAGGATTAGTATTTTATTAGACTTTCTCTTTGCTTGTTTTTAACTTTGGATTTTTAGTTTATTGGACTTTTTTGGAGGTTCTCTCTCCGCCCTCTTTTCTTTCTCTGTTTCTCCTCTTCCACCCCCACCTCCCATTTATGAGTCCAGGATACTTCCTTACACTGTGGGGAGAATGAATCCTTCTAGCGCCAGAGCTGCGGGTGGGTTTAATCCGCGCTGAGGATAGTTTGCGATATAACTACAGTGGGCGGAAGCGAATGTCAAGACGCCCATTCAGTTCAATGGTTATGCGTCGCATCCTCTTAAAACCGCGTCATCATGGGCTCCAGCTGGCGACCACCCCAAAGGGGCTTGTATACCGCAGTGGGGCAGGAGATGCGATCGGGGAGTATATGCCTAAACTCAGCTCGGGAAAACGTTAAGGGAACTGCTTTCTTCGCTGGAGGTCAGCTTGGAGTATTGGGGTTTTTGAAACCACAGTGAAGCCGGATCCGATGCACTTTTACTCGGGGGTAAATCACACCAAGTCCAGTGTGACTCTCAAGTCACGCCTGCATGGGATCTCAGCCGCCTCCTCCTCAGTCTGCTTAAATCGCCCTGTTAGGCTGATATTCTGTCCCCAAGTGGCACTTGCAAAGGAAGCCCCGCTAATTTATTTTCAAATAAATAAATAAACGGGCACTTAACCGGCTTAGGGATCGGGCTATTAGAACGGGGAAATCCGCAGAGGTTTGATATTTATTTCAGAAAATGCAATTAGGCAACCTCTGTCTCCTCAAAAGTGAATCCCGGCTTAATCCCCGGGAACTGCGCACGAAATGGCAGCCCTTCTTGTGACAAGCAAAAAAAAAAGGGCTATGGGTCGTTTTTGCAGTGTAGGAAATTTAAGCAGCAACCCCGACGATCAGTGACTCAAGAGGAAGTATCCCTGAGGTCAATGGGATGTGTGTCTGAAACAAAGCATGAGCAAGAACGGGGAATATGCTGCATTTTTCCAGGGATGCGTTTAGTCTAGTTTTGGCGCGATCCACCGAAGTGGATCACCTGAGGATCACTGGAAGGCAAGGGACACCTTCCTATATTCTTGCCAAGGGGTGTCCCTCCCCACGGGTTCAATTTCCCCCTAAGCGAGATGTAAGACTGCAGCCTCAAACTCTAGGAACTAGCCCCGTTTTTAGGACTTCATTCGGCTGGAATCGCCCGGTCCTTACTTCTGTCCAAATCTAAAAGAAAGGCCGTTTTCGGAAATCCCACTTTGGCCTTCGTAAATCACTGAGACCTGGACAAAACAAACCAATAAAAACGTCGCTTGCAGATGCCGCTTTTAACCTTTCAGGGGCAGCCAGAAAAATCAGATTTCCTCCCAAGTAAATTTTGTGATTGCGCTTATACTTGTAAACAGCTTAGAAGCCACTTTGGCAAGTAAGAGGTAGATAAATCAATAAATAGACGTGTGGGCAAGCTGAACATTTGGTGTGGAAAAATTTCGGGGAATTCATTCCCATTCATTGCAATTCTTCTTCAGCCTTCTGTAGATAACACATATATATTTAGAAGCAGCCTTAAAACTCAGTTTTGCCAATCCACCCTTAATTTGCAAACGTCTAGAAGCCATCATTAAAACTATTAGCCTCATTTTCAGGAAATTCCTGTCTGGAAGCACCTTCTGAAAAATGAATTACAGGTTTTGAGTGTGTCGCCTTTCCTCGTTTCCTCTTTTATATTTACACCGGATCCTTCCTCCTCCCTGGTCCTTTCCCCCTCACAATTTGCCTTCCTGTTCTCAATGTAGCATTCGAGTTTGTTGCCCCTAAACTCAGACACTGATGAGCATCAGCTACATGCCTAATTTTGAAGTAGGTGCCCGAGTCTCAAAGGCCCCCTTGAATGACACAGCAACCATTTCACTTTTTGGAAGGACCTTACTTAAGGAAAACTGGTTTCTGTTAGAAGGAAGAGCTCACTTTCTAAGAGGCCAGGTGGACGTGATGTCGTCTCACATCTGCTTCTTTCCCTGACTCTCCTTAGCCAGGACCTGTACAAAGACCACACAACCCACCAGTAACACAGGCAGTTCCGGAGGCCGATATTTTCCACCAAGGGAGGGGAAGATATTTTAACCTGTAGCAGAAACCACGTGGAAGACATACCTCCCCATTAGATCTGCCGTCTCTTAACAGGACGCTAAACCAGATCCGGCTGTGTCCTGCTTCAGGTTATGAGTTGGGTGTCTTTTCCTGTTCTCTGAGCCCTGGATTTTTATGAAAGGGAACTCAAAGCATTTCCCAAAGATGCACTTTCCACAAATCTGCATCAGGTCCCTCCCCCCTCCTCTTTCACCGTTTTTTACATTAAACCCCAGGAGCAACCAGCCTCCTTTTGCTCTCCAGCAGCAAAGCTGTAAATTCTGAATATTAAACGCAAAGGCAGATGCTGCATCCATTGAAAGGCGAAGGATGTAGGGGGTGGTTGGCTCTGTGTTTACCTTAAACCTACTTGCCCAGTCCCACTTTTTATGATCTGTAAGGAGGGTGTTTTTGGTGTGTTTTTTGTTAAAAGCGTTAGCATTGGACAAAGCAGACCAGCCGCCATAGCCAGGGCCTGATCACAACAAGAGTATGGTCAAGGGTAGGTAATTCTCTGCAGAGAAAGGGAGTGAGGGTTTGAAATTTTGGAGATCATCAAGAGGAGAGAGATCGGATGCCCGTCCAAAGCAGCAGTCTGCAGGAAAGGATTTATGCAAGGACAAAAACAGCTTACATGTCTTATTGCATGGAACCTCAAAGACATCATGCTTGGGAGAGGGGTGGCAGATACGGAATTCAGTGTGTTCTTCCTAGAACAACTTTCTCCAGGGCTTTTTAAAGGAGAGCAGGAAAACTTGATAAGGGAAACCTAGAATCTGACATGAGTTCAGACTGGGCACAAATAGATGGACAATGTATTTTCTTCAGTATCCCCAGAAAGGCACCTAGACAGAGGTTTCGGAAATTGGCATATTTATTTATATTTAATTCATTTGCTGATTAATCAATTAAAAGCCCTCTTAAAGCCAATGTTCTTTAACTGGCTCGCAGCCATAGTTTTAAGGATAATTGCTCCCCAGAGACAGGAACTGGACCCTAGCTGAGACCCAGAAACAAATTGTACTCTACTGGCTTCTTGGTTCTACTCAATTGACTTCAGCTCCAGCTGTTCCTTTGGGAGGGCTGGGGGTGGAGGTGGAGGCGGAGGGAGGCTGAATGGCCTCTCTGGCATAATAGATTATCCACAAACAGCTTTCCCAGTGGAGTGGAGCAGCATGAATATGAGAAATATTGCAAGTGACAGTTCAGCTTTTTAAAAAATCCAGACCAGCAATCATGCTAGCTTGCAGCAAAAAGACGGTCAAAAGTACCATGGCACCTTTTAAAGCCAGGACAGGGAACTCCTAAGGCCCTCCAGATGTTGCTGGATGCCACCAGCCCCAGCCAGCATAGCCAATGGTCAGGGATGATGGGAGCTGTAATATCTGGAGGGCCACAGGTCCCCACACCTGTTTTAAAGGCTGACATTGTTGTGCAATATTTTAAAGGCAATAGCTTAATTTTATCAAATGCATAAGTTGGGCTGAGAGAGTGGTAGGTGTCTACATAAAATGGAGGTGTCTATATACAGTGCCCATAGGTGTCTATATACAGTGGAGAATTTTAAAAAATCAACAACAGTTTAATGTGCTGATCCTGCATGTTTTTAACATTCCAGTCACCCTCTGCCATCCTTTTTTTAAATTTCTAAACAGTGTTTCGACACTATCGTAGCATAAAACATCAAGGCAACGTACAAAGTTAAAACATGAAAGACCATTAAAAATAAATAAACTTCATGCTTCCATATCCACTTCAATAAACTTAAGAATTAATATAGGCTGTCCTTACAAGGTGGCCCCAAACCTATTTTTAGTGCCAGGGTTATATTGCTAGATCAGGTGAGCAATGCATTTGCGTGCAATAAGCTAGTAGATTAACTCATAGATTTCTTTCATATTTGGGGGATTAAAGGAGAAAGAAATAGCAGAAATCTATTGAACACGACAGCTCTTCTTTTAGAGAAAGAAAAGCTATTCTGAACATGCTCGAAGTGTTTCTCCCTTTACTTTGGTTGTCCCTTTTTTCCTTTCTAAATGGCTCAGAAGCAACTATGACTTTTAACCATGTTGCACCCTTGCAAAGCATTTGGCAGAATACTTCTACGGTAGTTTTCTGCTACATTTTAGCAAGGCCTCCAGAAATTCCACCAAGTGATTCCATAATCTGGCATGAAGATGCCACAACGGAGAGACAGTATATTAGCTGTTAACTAAACAGCATCTTAATCGAGCTTCAGCTGAGCGGAGACGCTTTCCGGAAGCATCGGGCTGGCCAGTACGCAACTAGCTCCAGCGTTGCCAAAGCCGTATCCTCCAGATATTGTCTACCCCCGGTCAGCCCCAGCCAGCATCAGCAAAGGCCAGGGATGATGGGAAGTGGACGCCAACGGCATCTTGAAGCGCACCCATCAGCTGGCCATCCCTGGAATAGCCGGACTTTGAATCTGATGCTACCCTTCTTGGGTCCTTCAGTTTCATCTGCTGAGCGCTTCCCATTAAAAAGGCTCCGACCGCGTAGCGGCGGGTGCCACAGGGAGACGTACTTTAGGGCAGCAGGGCTGGCAGCCAACTTTGAAGCCCTCTATGCTATTATTCTTATTATTAATTATTTTCTGTACCGCTTAATGGTGACATGTAATAAAGGGGGGGGGGCGCAGGGGAAATAAGGCCATTGAAATCAGAATCGTAAGAGCTGGAAGGGATCCCAGGGCATAGCTGTCAACTTTCCCCTTTTCTTGCGAGGAATCCTATTCGGAATAAGGGAGTTTCCCTTTTAAAAAGGGAAACGTTGACAGCTATGTCCCAGTGTCATCTAGTCCAACCATAGGAGCCAACTTCTAGGGGTCCTTTGCCCCCCCATAAAATATTTGAGGGAGCCCCCCCTGTTTATGGGTATTGCAATTCAAATGGCGTGTGCGCACCACTTCATGTGATCATAGAATCATAGAACCGGTTGTGAGCATTAAACGCCCGTCTGCAGATAGTAAACTCAGGGACCACTGCAGGACTATGCAACTGTTGCAACCTTGGCATTATCAGCCCCACGCTCTGACCAGCTGAGCTATCCAGGCTCAATTATCAGTTATGCGGGGTGTGACTTGCCTTCCTCCCCCCCCCCCCAATATTTTATTCAAGTTGGCATCCCTGAGTCCAACTCCTGGCCCGCTGGAATATTTTGCCCAACCCCACGACCCTGAGATGACGCTTCTCCTGCCCTCGCGAGTGTGGATGGGTGGGTGGGGGAGTGGGGGAAAGGCGTGCCTGGCTTTGGCCGTCGGTGGAGCCCGGCCGCCCCCTGCTAAGCCCTGCTTTGTCCGCCCCTTGCAGGTGTGGTTCAAGAACCGTCGCGCCAAGTGGCGGAAGCGGGAGCGCAACCAGCAGATGGACCTGTGCAAGAGCGGCTACGTGCCGCAGTTCAGCGGCCTGATGCAGCCCTACGAGGAGGTGTACGCGGGCTACCCGTCCAACTACTGGCACGCCAAGAGCCTGGCGCCGGCGCCGCTCTCGTCCAAGAGCTTCACCTTCTTCAACTCCATGAGCCCGCTCTCGTCGGCGCAGTCCATGTTCTCGGCGCCCAGCACGCTGCCCTCCATGAGCATGCCGTCGTCCATGGGCCACTCGGCCGTGCCGGGCGTGCCCAACGCCGGCCTCAACAACCTGAGCGGCTCGTCGCTCAACACGGCCATGTCGTCGCCCGCCTGCCCCTACGGCCCGCCGGGCTCGCCCTACAGCGTCTACCGGGACACTTGCAACTCCAGCTTGGCCAGCCTGAGGCTCAAGTCCAAGCAGCACTCGAACTTCGGCTACAGCGGCCTGCAGAGCCCCGGCTCCACCCTCAACGCCTGCCAGTACAACAGCTGACGGGCCGGCGCCTCCGCACAGGGACCGCGGCGGCGGCTGCTGCGCCAAGGGGCCCCGGGGAGCCCCGCAGGAGGAAGGGCGCGGCGGGGCGGCGGCGGCGACGACGACGGGAAAGGAGAGAGAGAAGGAGAGAGAGGCGGGGGTTCAGACGACGCCCCAGCCCGGCCCTGAAACACGGGGATGAGTTGCAATGTATTTCGTTCTCCTCTGGATGATGCGGGTTTTGTATGCGTGTTTACTTGAACTTGCACAGGACTTCCTCTTCTAAGCGTCCACTTTATTCGAGGAAATACGGCGGGGAGGAGAGGGGGCGGGGCGGGGGGGAGAAACCGCGCCAGCGAAGAAATGCGCGGCTCGTGGGCGGGGCTTTTTGTGGTAGAGGGTGGGAGGGGGAAGAGGCGTGGTTTCCGGGGTGGGGTTTTGCTTGCTTTTCCGGCCGCTTCAGGACAAGGGGCGGGGACTCTGGTGAGAGGGGGCGGGGCTTCGGGTCAATGGCAAGATGGGAACTCTCAAGCGGAGCAAATGTCATCCTGACAAGGGTCAACCACTTCAGGGAGGTTCTGTTTATCTTTTCGCCTTTCCCTGCGCTTGGCCGTCGGGTGGGCGGCGTTGCTTTCCACGTGCATGAGTGACTCTCGATGGGGATTTGTTTCTTTAGCTGAAAGCGGTGGAGAGCCGGCCATGCCGAGCACTAAGCGGCTGGAAAAGGTTCCTACCTCTCTCTCGTTTATTCCCTCCCAAGACGGCAGTATCTCCCCCCCCCAACATCCCTCTTTAAATCGCCTCCCTTTAAAAAGGAACTTTGCAGAACGCCCCCCCAGCCCTTCCCCTTTGCAAAGTCTTACCCCTGATAATCAAATTATCGTTCATCCTTATTTAAATGGCTCTTTTTTTAATTAAGAAAGAATTCTCCTAGAGAATCTAGGGACAGAAATGTTTAAAATACGGAAAAGGACTATCCTGAAACGTCGATACTGCATCTTAAAAGGAAAGGAGTATAGTAATCTCGAGGTTGGGGGAAATGTTTGAAAAAGTGACTTTGCTTTTCCAGCTCTGAACAAAAAGCAAGGAGCCCAAACAAGAAATCTTAAAAAGGTGTTATGATGTAAATGTAGATAATACTTAAAATGACTATGAAAATGATAAATATGATCTTTAACTATTAATACGCATTAAAAACGCATATGAAGTTTTCCTGCAGACATATTTGTTGCTTCTTTCTGTCAATACTTATTACCTGTAGATGACAAAGAAACGTAATATAAAATGCACAAGGTACTTCTTTCCCAGTGTATTCCCACCTGTGGTAACCGTTACGCTGGATGTTTCAATAATGCTGTTGTGGAGGATGCAGTATATATATTGTTTTATAAGTTATGTTTTTGTGATTTTTTTTCAAAATTAAGAGCATGGGAATAATAATAAAAAAAAACCTCTTCAAATGCTTTCGGTCTTCCTTTCTAGCTATATTAATGTCTAGATCCACTAATCTAAAGAAAATATCCCAGAGGATATTTTGAATATTACATTTAATACTGCAGTCTGGTAGTGGTGGGCTTTTCCTCCTTTGTCTTCTTATATAATGAGCCCCAAAATGTAAACATGCTATGAGACCAAGTGAATGAGTGGCCTGTGCATAAATTGATCAAGTATCACTATAACTTTGACACTGAACATTGCAATTGAGTCCCGTGAACTTTACCGTGGGATTTGCCTCAAAGCCATTGAATTAGTCCCCTATATTTAGTGCATAGATTCCAGTGATATTGTTTCCAAGATTGTGATCTCAGTGCTACAATATTAAATACAGTGCACTTAACTTTGAAGTGAACTACAATGAAATCAATAAGAGATTTCCTGGTTGAAGTGATGGGGCTTGCCCTTAAAATCAGGGTCTTTCCCGTGTACAGAGAAAGTACATGGGAGAAAGTAGAAAGAGAAAGAAAAGGAACAGAAGGGCTTTTTGCTCCTCCATTTCTGGAAAATGGAAAGGGTTGGGTTTTGGTTTTTTTACACTCCCTTGTTAATAGAAAGTAAGCTCTACAGGTTCCAAAGAGATGTTTCCAGCATCAGAGCTCCTGGCTGGAGCCTGCAGTTTTGGGTAGAGACAGTCAGCAGGTTAATTAAGAGCTGAACATAGTTTTGATAAAGTCATCCCATTTTTTGTGTCAACCTTTCTGGCCAAATAAATCTTTGAAACAATCTGAGGCCAGTTTTCCAGAAAAAAGTGAGAAGATTGTGGACCAGCAGCCATCCCTCTCTTGAACCTTTTCTGTGGGGGAGAAGTAGAGGATACACTCCCCTTTCCAACCTAACTAACAATACTCCTGGTATATACCCCATAGACTTCCAACAGCTTGATGGAAAAAATGGATACTGGAGAAAAAGCACGGTACAACAGTAGGTTTTTAATACTCCACTTTAGGCCAAGAACAGAACTGGAGTCTCTGACACCCCGAATATAAACAGCTGAAAGCAAACTTGCAATACTCAGGCAAATATTTAGCCACAATTACAAAAGAATCTTGTCAGAAATAAGTTCTGAGTAGAACTTGAGCTCAATAGGGCTTGCTCTTAGGCTGCAATCCTAAACACACTTTCCTGACAGAGAGAACCTTTTATGGACTAGAATCCCCTTTTAAGCGTTAGTTTCAGTTGCTTGAGATGTACACAGCATGAATTCAAAGAGGGGTGATGGGACTGGAGGAGGGATAAGGTAAAGGTAAAGAGGCCCCTGACCATTAGGTCCAATTGTGGCCAACTCTGGGGTTGCGGCACTCATCTCGTTTTATTGGCCGATGGAGCCGGCATACAGCTTCCGGGTCATGTGGCCAGCATGACTAAGCCGCTTCTGGCGAACCAGAGCAGCCCACGGAAACGCTGTTTACCTTCCCACCGGAGCGGTACCTGTTTATCTACTTGCACTTTGATGTGCTTTCAAACTGCTAGGTTGACAGGAGCAGGGACCAGCAACGGGAGCTCACCCCATGGCGGGGATTCGAACCACCAACCTTCTGATCGACAAGTCCTAGGCTCTGTAGTTTAACCCACAGCGCCACCTGCGTCCCAGGAGGAGGGATAAGGGGGGGGGCAAATAGCCATGAAATGCAAAGGTGGCTGTATGTCTTTGGCTTTCCTGCACAGATCCCAAATCTATCCAAGATTGGAGTAAAGTGACACATTCACAGGAACAGTAATGATAATTCTGATTTCTTCAATAGGGTTTGAAGTGCTCCCAATATATCTCTATAGCTTCATTTATTTTTACATATCAAAGCCATGCAGAGAAGGATAACACTACTGAGACTGTTGCTGAGGGCATTGCTAGGGAAGTGGTTACTTAAAGCCACTAACATCCCAAGTCTCAGGATAATTTGAAGCCCTTTTGAAAACAATTAGGCTTTCCTAGTAAATGTGTTGGATTGTGAATTGAAAAGTAGAGGACAATCAAATTGTCAAAGAAGGTCAAATTTGCGACTATACAGTAACTGTGAGGTTAGGTAAACATGAGCATCAGGAAACCCCCTTTCTGGAACAAAGGGGGTTTATTTAATTATACATACGTAAGCCTGGCGTGTTTGTTTCATGACATACTATCTTACGGTAAAACTAGCTTTTCCCACGCGCTGTGTTTTTTGCATTCTTAAAAAAAAAAACCACCTAGTTCACTGCAACAACTGTATGAAAAAATTGGCTATTTTGGTGACTACGTCATTTGCGGTAGCCATTGGAACTATTTTCAGTCTTATATTTTGAACTTGATTGCTGGTTAAGGGGTGGGGAGGGAGAGAGAAATCACATGGGAAGTGATATGTGGAGAACTGCCATATTTTCTGCATAAATCTGTGTCCAATATCCTAAGACTTCAGCCATGTTGACAGATCCACAGCCAGGAAAGTGGCCTCAATGTACTATTTCTGTGCGAAGATGCTCAAATGATCGCTGCAAAACATCTCTCCAAGAGCTCTTTTCGCTCCGTTTATCTGGCAGTGTTGTTATGGTGAAATCAAAGAAAGGCAGCCTGAGAAAGAGGAGAGGAAAAGCTTCCTGACTCCAATAGGATACTAGCAAGGCATCAGATTAGGAAGTTAGCCCTGTCAACAGGGACTTACTTTTGAATAAATGCTCGCATGAACCAAGATATTAATACATTTGTCCACTTCCGCCTTGAAGCCAATAAATTTAGATGCAGCCCTATAGCCATTTATGTGAGAGTACACCCATAGAACTCGATGGGATGTCAAGCAGATCCATACTACACATTAAAAGGACATTTAGTGGACATTTAAAGCCCATGACTTCTCTCAAGGAATCCTGGGAAGTGTAGTTTGTTAATGGTGCTAGGAACTGTAGCTCTGTGGGGAACTATGGTTCCCACAATTCTTTGGGGAAAAGTCATGTACTTTTAATGTGCATTCTTATTTTATTATTGGCCCATTTATTTTCCTCTTACACTAGACTGGCCATTGAGTGAGTATAGGATTTAGTCTTCCTCTTTATTGTCCCTGAATCATAACATTCTTATGCCTACTCAAAAGTAAGTCCCATTGAAATCAGAGGATTTTACTCTCAGGATTGCAGCCTAAATCATCTGGAGCTCGGTGTACAACTGTGTGTATTTTGATGCATATGGGAAGCCCAAAAGCAGGCAGGACCTGACATTATGCAAATTTAGTACATTTTGAATATTTTTCATTATTTTGAGTGATTTACCTTGTCTCTGCTACATGTGGGCACAACTGCCTAACTAATTAAAAGTCTGCTGAGTCTTCCTCAGGACTGAGATGTCTCTGTTCATATACCTTCCAAGTTTCATCTTTACATTAATTTGCTTTTTTAAATGATTATATCCTCAAAGCACAAAGGCCACATAGTACTGTTTTTAGGTGCACTTCTAACGTTTTCCAACAATACACCCAAATATGTAAAGTGTGAGTGTGATGGATGTGATATTTATTATTTATTTATGTAAACATTTATAGACCTCTCCATAGGATTTA